GCTGAACTTACACAGCAGCCTTACAAGTGAGGGGCCAGCTGTCCTTTCTTTACGGATGAGGGAAATGACACTCAGAGATGCAGAAACTTGTCAAAGACCACGTAGCCGGCTGAAATGAGACCCAGGTCTTGTCTGGCTCCAAGGCCTCCATCCTCAGCCTTCAATCCAGAAAACTCTTGAAATTGCAGATTTGCCCTTCTCCTCCCCGACCCCCTCCACCAAGATGGAGCTCCACTTCATGAGCTGTTGCCGTGAGTCCCTCAAGGCGGGCTGGCCATTGTGAATCCTGGTGAACGGACTTACTCCTTGCTCTGGATCTTCCGAGCTCAGAGAGGAGATGGGGGTTTAGTGAGAGGGGTTGAGATCTTCAGGGGGCCAGGGATTCTGGGAAGGGGGACCCTGGGGGAAGAGGGGCTCTCTATGGGGCTCATGGAAGGTGACAAGATGTGGTGGGGGACAAGAGCTTGGTGGGGGACAGATCGAGAATAGGAGTGCAAGAGGGGACTGGAGAATCCAGACTGAATGAGACCAGGGCTTGGGGACCATCAACATTCCCTCTGCCCGCCACCTCTCTACTGCTAATGGAGGAAGAGAAAATATCCAGGGGAATGCTGAGGCAAGAGGATGTGAAGGAACAGGCTGAGGGGAGGTGACACAGCAGCCTCCTCCCAGCAGCGGGGCCGGATCGAAAGAAACCCAGCCTCCTGCACCACTCTGGCCCTGGGCTGTCCCAGCCAAAGATCAGAGGAATTCAGAAAGAGAGAGAGCCAGAAGGAACCAGTAACTGGAAGAGACAGGTCCTGGGAGAGTGGAGTCAAGTTTTACAGGAATTCCTACCCCATCTCAGAAGAGGTGGCTGTGATCCAGTGTGGCCCGAGCAGCATCGGCCCCAGTGCCTGGAGTCTCCACATTAGTGCCTCCCTTCGGTGGCTCGTGGCTGCTGTCTCCACGGGCCCCTGATAAGGTCTCACTCCCTCCCCTGCCCGCCTCTTGACATCGAAATAGGAATTCACTGCACCCCATGAATCATGGGACCCAGACTAGGTAAGTCTTGGATGAAATTAAGGAAGGGGCACTGGGAAGGAGTCTGGGGGCCACATTCCCAGTGTGGAGGGTGAGGAGGCTGTGGAGCCAAAATGGGTGTACTGGGTGGGGTGGGCTGGGGGACTCGCGGTTCCCCACACAGAGCCAGCCATAAGGCCAGACCTAGAGAGAGTGTTTGAATGAATGAGTGAATGACGGAAGGGGCAGGAAGGGACACTGTTTACTCAGCTGGAGGCGGGGAACCCAGCCTACCTTCCTTGATGAGACAGAGATACTGAGAGGACAATGGAAAGTCGGGCCACTCGAGCCCCTCACTGAGCCCTGTTCCCTGTCCAAAGCAGGCAGAGATAAAGACAGACAAAGCAGACAAATATACAGACAAAAATGGAGTCAGAGACAGAGGAAGTCCAGAGATAGGCAGTCAGACAAAGGCCAACAGGTGTCTGCAGGACTGTGCAGGGACAGGGAAGGAGGTCCGCCCCGGAGAGAAGGCTGCAGAAGAGACAGGGGGAAATGAAGAGAAGCAGACAGAGACAGACAGGAGAGAGACAGGCAGGCCTGCCACGAAGAATCCGAAAGCTCAGCGCAGAAGAGAAAGGGGTTCAGAGAGAGGCTTGCGGAGCCCAGCCTGCAGCGTGACACGCACCACGTGGAGAGGGCGGAGGTTCTGGGAACGGAGCGCCCCGCTGAGCATTTCTTGGGCAGAGGAGGGAGGTGGAAGAAACAAAGGGTCTTCAGACACGGTGCCCTGCAGTGATCACCTCTGGTCTCCTTCCAGCTGTCTGTCCCCTGTTGGCTGTGTTAGCCTCACGCCCACTCAGGCAGGACTGAACCTTCTCCCTGGCTTGTGTGGGCAGCACCGAGGGCTTTGTGGGCAGCCTGACGCGGCTTGGGGACCCTGGCATGGCAGGAAGGGTGGGGTGGATGCTTCCTCTGGGGGCCTTGCTGGAGAGATGACAATGGGGTCAGACTTGGGTGGCTGGTTTGGAGATGGGCCACTGACAGACCAAATTACCCATCAGCTTTGGCTCGCTGCAGGATGGGAAGGTTGTGACCCTACAGGCATGGGAAGAAACTAGAGACTTTGGCTGTATTGTGCTTGTCCCCCTCACCCCACTGTTGTTCTCACCCCTGCAGGGCTCAGCTCTAGACTATTCTCTAGCCGCCCCGACCTCCCACACATACAGCAGGAGGCTGATCCCCTGGGCCACCGGGGGCCACCTCTGGCTTTGCTTCCTGGGCCCCACCCTGAGCTCCTTCTGGTCTGAGGACATCTGAGGGGTATGGGAATGCAGGTGGGGCAGGGTATAGAGACTGGAGCCTGGGAAAAGAGCAGGGGCCAGCTTGTGTGAGGGAGAGGGGTCAGCTGTCCTAGCCAGGGGCAGACATCAGAGAGAGGAATCAGGGTCAGATCTGGCTCTCAGCCCAGCCCTACCACCAACTCACCATGTGCCCTTCGGCAACAGGCAGAGCTTTCCCTGTCTGTGGGGGAGGAGTTGGAGAAAATGATCTCCCGAGGCCATTCCTTTTGTGATTTCAGAGACTCCTCTTTCCTACCTCTGCTCTTTGCTCACAGCTTTTACCTCTACTAGGAAGGTATCTGCCCACGTTTCTTCACCGGTTCTGGTGAAATTTGCCATTTGCCAACTCCTCCAAACATCAGCTTCTCCAGGAAGTCTTCCAGACGGATTCCCCAGCTAGAAGTAACATATCTCACGTCTGCTGCTTGACTTCTCTTCTTCGAGGTTCATCTTTTCTTGCTGCTCATATTGTTTCTGTTGCTTTCCAGCTGTCCTGGGTTCAAAGTGCATCAATCCGGGGCAGATAGGAAGGGCAAAGGAAAGAACTAGCAGCCCCAGGTTAAACTTTGAGCTCTGTGTCACTGGCTTTATGAGAATTCAGTGACATACTCTTACCCTTTTTAAAAGTTGAGGAAACAGATGCTCCAAGAGGGCAAGTGGTCTCACCCAAGGTCACCCAGCAAGGGAGCAGCAGAGTGGGGGCCAGCAGAGTGGGGGCAGGTTGTCCTGATGCCAAAGCTCTTTCGTCTCTCTGCCATGACCCTCGGGGCTCCCTCCTCTCTTCCGCAGACCCCACACTAGTGAGACTCCATCCACTTGGGCGCTTCTCCACTGGTTCCGGACAAAGCAAACTATTCTCTGGGTGTGAGTGACTGGGGAATGGGTGGGGTTGGGGTGGTTATTTCCTCCCAGGCTAGGCCTTGCCTACTGGGCCTGATCTCAGGCAGCTGTGAACCAGATGGCAGGCTTGCCTAAACCCTACAGTCAGGGGCTAGGCGTTCAAAGCCCCCTCTGCTTTTGTCCCTTGCTAGGACTCACTTTCTCTGTGTGACAGATGGAGGGGGTTGGCTGAGGTGGTCATTTGGTCTCTTCCTATACTGAGAAGCTCAATCTGTCTCTGGAAGGAGAAGTGCAGCAAAGGCCCCTCTGCAGGGGAAGGGTCAGATCTCCCCATCGGTGATAAGGGGGCTTGGCTGTCTCCAGGGTGCCAGGCCCAACTTCAGCTGCACCCTGGGGGCCGGGAAAAAGTAAAGAAGTAAACTTGGTGCCTGCCATCCCTCATGGGCTGCAGCCCAGAGCCCTAAGCGCTAATGCTTGAAATGATGGAGAACAGTACCTCCCTCCCCAGACTGGGAGCTTCCTGGAGGTGGGGTCAGATTTGAACCATTCTTGGGGCCCCAGATTTCTGCACAGGCTTGGCAGATGTGAGGATCTGGGAAAGTCTGTGTCTAAGCTGTCCTCCCTCCACTCCCCGTCTCCTCCCATGACATTCCTTCCTTCCCTCCAACCTGTTTTGAAAGCCTACTCTAGTTGAGGACTGGAGACTCATGGTATGGAGTGAGGTTGGGTATAATAGGGCCCTAGGGGGTAAATGTAAGCACACAGAGAGATGAGCTGGGACTCATGGTTGGGGGGGGTGGGCAGGGTGGCCAAAGCCAATGGCCACCTCTCTCTGAGCCTCAGGCTCCATGTTTTAGGCTGAAGGAGACTGACCTGAATTCCCTGTGTGCTCAGGGCTCACCCTCCCCCCAGGCCCTCCACACTGTTTTTAATGTCATCTTTCTAGATGGGATAGCCAGGGCTGGAACTGGGAACAGAAAGTCCCAGCACAGGGTGCCTGACCCAGTTTGGAAACCACCAGAAAGTGCTTGGCCTCCTCCCCCACCCTGCACGATCTTCCTCAAGAAACAACAGCTGGGAGGCCAGCAAGAGCTGGACCTCAAGCATGCTATTGTCATCCCAGCAGACCACCAGAAGCCCTGCAAGGAGGAATTTCCCAATGATGACAGCCAAGCCCTTCGTGCCTCCGACTCTTCCCCCTCCAGAAGCTCGCTGACCCCCTCCGGAAGCTCACTCGGGCCACACTGGAAACTGGAGCACTCAGGGCCCCCAGCCCACCCCCACCCCAACCTGAGCCCCTCCTCCCACATTCCCATGCTCCAGCCCTGTCTTCTCCCTCCCTCAGCTTAGCTTGGTTCAACAATCATGTTTTTAAGCTGGGCCAGGCCTTGAAAGATGAGAAGTGGTTTGCTGGGGAGAAAGGACACTCCAGGCTGAGGGTACAGCATGTGCAAAGGCAGAGGGGTGAAAAGAACAGGATGAATTTGGAGAATGGCAAGCATCTATGGGGCCGGAGAATACTGTTCTCTAGGGGTGGGTAAGTGAGACAGGAGCGGTTCCCAAAAAAGCGGTTGACCTTTTGAGGCTGAGATCTCTGTTCTCACATGGTATAGACGGTGGTGGGAAGGGAGGAGGGGGCCACCTATTGTTGAGGACAACAATCCTACAAACACTCCATGAAACTGGCAGTCTTCTCTCGCTTCCAGAGAAGGAAACTGAAACTGACATTGGCTAACTAAGCTGCCCAAGATCACACAGCTCCGCTGTGGCAAAGCAAATATTTGAATCCAAAGTCTTCTGACCTAGAGGGTTTCAGCAGGGACATGGTCCAGCAGGACATAGGATGGGACAGGTGCTGCCCTGAGGAGCTTAGTGCTTCATCAGGCGGACTTCAATAGTGCAGGAGACTGACCAGCACTGCAGCCCAAAGGAAGGTCTGAGGGAACCGGCCCAGGAAGGGGTTTTACGGAAGACGAGACAGCAAGGCGTGGGCCGCAGGAGCTAGGTAGGAGGGACCAGCAAGCTGAGGGCATACAGAACAATCTAGGAGGTAAGGGCTCAAGGAAGGAGTTGGCCACGCTGCCTTCCTTCGACTCCACTAACTCCGGAGAAGTATCTGTCATTGTTGTGAGGGACGGATTGCCCAATATCTGCTGCTGGGAAAATTTCCCTTCCCAGGCTCGGGCTATGGGTGTGTCCGTGCTGGAAGCTGGTAGGTTTTCCAAAAACATCTTGGCGCCTTTGTGACACTGTCCCCTCCCCCCACGTGGCATCTGAGCACAGTTCCAGGGTAGGTTCTTCTTTTTGCTCTGTTCTCTTCGGATGGGGCCTATGCCGGAGGCGTCTCACTCTCGCTGGGCAGGTTGCCCACTTGTGGCTTCTGTTACCTTCTTTCTACTCTTGTCCCCAGACAGCCAGAGATCTGACTCCAGCCCGTACGCTCTCATGGGCTCTCCTAGAGCCCACAGCCTCCTAAACATCTCTCCCTTGGTGCATCACCCCCCTGCCCCACCACCCCAAAGCCAGCACGGCCAAGGCTGAACTCACCACCGCTTTTGAATCCCGGCCCTCGATGATGGTAGGCCCAGATGCGGAGCTGCGCCTCCCTGCTCCACCCCTGCCCCCAGGACTCCTCGGCCTCCTGCGCCCCGCACAGCTGATCTTCCACCAAGTCCTGCCCATCCTACCTCCCCACTGTGGTACCTCAGTTCATTACTCTCCTAGCCACTACCTAGCCCAGGCCCCATGGTCACTCGCCGCTCTGGACCCCACTCCTGCCTTCTCCCTGGTCCCTGCCCATCGCCTGACTCTTCCACTCCCCCCTCACAGGCACGGAGGTCTTCCCAGGTAGCCAAATCAGACCTCATCCCTGGGCTCAGAACAAAGCCCAGCCCTTCAACCTGGCATTTGAGCTTATCATAGCCCGGCTCCTCCAACCAGTCCAGCCCCAGCCCCCCGCCACACCCCCACCTTGGCCCCAGTGCTCCAGCCCTGCCAGACCATTTGTTCCCTGAGCATTCTTTGTACTTTGATATTTCTGCCCTTTTCTCTGATGTATCTTCCTTTAAGAAGCCTTCCAGAACCTTGCAATCTAGGCTAGGGCCTCTGCTGTGTTTCTGTAGTCTTGAAACTCCCTGTTACCTCAGTGAGCCCATGTCACTGGGATTCTGTGTTAGATGTCTGCTTCCCCAGCTTACCCCCACCCCCAGACACTGGGAGCTCCCTGAGGGCAAGGACTGGGGCTGCTGGCCTCTGAGTCCCCAGCAGCCTGCCTCGGAGAGCTGTCAGGGTGTGGGGAATGAATCTTCATTGTTACTTCTAGAACCAGCAGAGACCAGTTCTTCCCATGTGGAGACCCTGGGCAAGTCATGGTCCTCTCTGGCCCTGTTTATTTGCCCCTCAAAGGCTCAACCCAGCCCTGGCTTCCTGTCCAGGGGACTCCCCAGCCCAGTGTTGCTGTGGAGTCACAGACAGATGAAGAGGGTCCCTGAAAACACACCAGGCAGGCACCCCCCCCATCCCCACAAAGAGACTCCAACAGGGCAAATTGCATCTTGGGCCAGCTGAGTATCGCTGTATGAGAATGTGGGCCCAGGATTGCCACATCTGCTAATCTTTCAGGAAAAAGCAAAAAATCTGGAGTTTTATGTGAAATTTCCCGTTTTTAAATGTTGGCCACCAACTTAAAAACACTCAGAAAGCAAGCATTGCACAAGCCCCCCCAAACATCTAGAAGCCAGATGTGCCACCAGGTAGGACTGCCATGCGCTGCCCCACAGCTCCAGAGGGCACCATTCCCTTCGTGGTGCACAGCCCACACAACTGCACACGGGGCCTTTGGCCGGGGCCTCTCCTTTAAACCTCTGCCTTATACTCTAGCTCTGCTAGTTCTTTTGATGGTCTTGGCAAAGGGTGTGGGGAGAGGCCTTCCGTTCCCTTGTACAGGGAAGTTGTTAAAAGAAAAACAGGACTTTGGAATGCCGCTGGTGGGATGGGGTGGGAGAAGACAAGAAACGGCAGAGGGAGGCATCCGGAGGGGTCTGTGTTGCTTCAGGGATGAGGGGGACGTGAGTGAGTGGGTGGTGCTGGGGCTGAGGCTCCCACAGGAAGGGGTATCGTTTTTTTCTGGGCTCTGGTGGCCAGACCTGGAAATAGATTGCCTGGTGAGTTTGGAGCAAAGGCTGATGAAACTGCCACTTGCAGGATAGCCTCATGTTGACAAAGGACATTATACTGTGTGACTCTCACACAGGCTAGAGAGGCAAGGCTTAGTATTCCTATCACACAGAGGCTCAGAAAAGTCTAGTTGCTGGCCCAAGGCCATACGGGGTCTAAGTGATCTTTGATTTTGCTCTCTCTGCTGGAGACAGGCTGAAATGTTCTGGAGAGAGAGTGCCATTGCCTTGCCCTTCCTTGGTCCCCAGGATGTGAGAACCCTCACAGGCTCTCGGCATTTCCCAGCAGGTCCCTCCTGGAAGTTCAATTCTGGGCCTTGGTTATGAGTCCTGAACCCCCACCATACTCGGGTCCCCTGGAGTATGGGACTCAGGGCCCCACATGTCCTTTTCCCCTCGTTTCTCTCTCCCCAGCCTTGCCCCGACAGCACTCTCTGAGGCCATCACCAGTGAACGACTGACACTCTGTAAAGAATCAGCTGGTAGAATGGCAGACTCTCCCCATAAAACTACCTTAGACAAAGCACAGAAGGGAAGCCAGGTTGGAATAAGAAATGGCTGCATGGGGATTATGTATGTTTCATTTGTTCTAAGGCCATCTTTGCAGCCAACCTTCTTGTGGTTGCTATTGGGGGCCCAGGAGTCAGGCAGATCTGGGTTCCGGTCCGGGCTTTGCCATTTACCAGCCCCAGGACCCTGGATAAGTTGCTTCCCCTCTCTGTGCCTCAGTTTCCTCCTCTGCATCATGGAATCACAGCAGCTATCTCTAAGGGGTGCTAGGAGGATTGGTGAGTGAGCCCAGCCCAGCCCAGCCCCGCCCAGCACATAGTGTTCCTTGGTCTGTGGTAGCCCCTTGGACAAGCTCCTAGGACAAGCTCCTCCAAGACCCTTCCTGTGGAGGATTAAGGTGAGCCAGAGAGCTGGGTCTCCCAACCTCCCACCTCTTCAGCCCTCTGGGGTTGAACTTTCTCTGGATTCTCAAGTTCCAGATGTGGCAATGTGGCAAAGCAAGTATGGAAGCCAGCATGGAGTTTGTGGCAGGACAGACAGCTGACAGAAAGACTGGCTGCCTGACGGGTGATAAAACAACACTTACTGCACACCCTGCTACACGTTGTGCTTGTACTGGTTCCCCACACGTTACCGATGGAACCCCACACGTTACCGATGGTTCCCCACACGTTACCGATGGAAACTGTTGGTAAGACAAATGCTGTTGTTTACTGTGAGGAGGGTTAAGAACGCTTCTCAGAGCTTTGGCAGTGATTCAGAGTGGGGAGGTAAGGTCAATATTTGCTGAGAATTGGAAGTTTGTTTTAAGGCTGGTACTTTGGTGTGGGGAGGGAGGGAGAGGGGGGAGGCCTGACTGGGATTGGGTAAGAATCATGATAAAACAGTTTGTTGGTGGAAATAACAAGGTGAGGATTTTGTCGGGGAGAGAGTCAAAGAGTCGGAGGCTCACACTCTGTGGATGGTTTCCCTCGAAGAGTCGAGGGGTCTTTCAGAAAGTTCCTGTAATGAACAATGAAGCCATTTGTTTGAACTGGTCGGTCTGGGAAGCGTAAGAAGAAAAAATGCGTATGAAGACAGTGGAATTGTAAGGCCCAAGTTCACACAGACCGTAAGGTGTGGTTTCAGGCTTTTAGTGTCCAGGCTGAATGTGGGGTGGAAGGATCTGGTTCTCAGTGGGCTCTTTCTGTCCTGGGATGTGGGGATTACAGTCCCTGCCTTGCAGAGGAGGAAGCAAAGGGGCCACTGGTCTCAAGGCCACACAGCAGGATTGCAGCCACTGAGGACTCAAACCTGGGCAGTGCCCCTGAAGCTAGTGAGTGTGCGTGGAGGGAAGGGGTCCCAGGTCCTCCTTGTGGTAAGTTGGGGCTTGGGTGAGAGGGAGAGATAAAATAGGGAGGGAAGGATGGTGCTGTCAGAAGGAGGCATTAACTTGGAGGGGCCAGCTGCATGTGGAAGGGAATGGCTTCCGTTGGGCCCTGTGGCCTCGGAGGTGCTTGAAGGTTATCAGGAGAGGGGAGGGTAATTGTCTTCAGTGGGGCCTACTGTGTCTCAGGCCTGGGCAGGGGCTGGATGCCTCACCTTCTTGAGGCAGATGCTGTCTTCTCATCTGGAGGGTGAGGCAACAGCTCAGAAAGATGAAAGGGCATGTCCAGGCTCACTCAGCTACCGGTGACAGAGCTGGGGCTCAGACCCAGGTCTGAGGACTTTGAAACCCACGCTCAGCCCCATACCTGCCCCTGGGATTTTCTGTTTACAGCTAGGAGGTGGCTGGAGGAGGTAGGACTTTCAGCGTTTCTGGCAAAGAACAGGCAGAGAAATCTAGCCTTCCCTGTCAGGCTGCTCTCTGAAACCTTGGTCCTCATCACCCTGGATTCAGCTGGTGTGAAGAATGCTGATACCTACCCATGGAGGGGGTCTCTAGAGGCAGAGCCTCTGCCTTACAGATGTTTGTAGTCTCTGAGTGAACTGAAGGTTTCTGGCTGAAAGACGTTCAGGATGACTGACTGACTAGCTGGCTAGCTCAGCTTGCCTGAACAGACAAGTCTCCTGAGAGACAGCCAGACCAGTGACTAACCAGCTGATGGACGTGAGTGGGCCTGTGTCCACAGCCAGCCATGTTACCAACTGATAGGCACCAAGACCCCTTCCCTGCCCGCTCTGAGGATGTGGGCTCCAGCCCTGGGAACCAGCTGGCCTACCTGGAGCCCCCAAACCTGGTTGCCCACCTGGGAGAGAAACAAATTGGCATTTTTTTCCTGGGGCCAGGTTCCCTATCTCTCCCCTCATTCCTACAGGCCACCCAGGCCCAGCCCAGGTTCACCCCCACAGTGGCCCCCTCTCCTGTCAGGGGTGACCCCTGACAGAATCTTCACAGGATGGGAAGGCCCTTGGAGATATCACATGAAGAGGTTGTGCTTTCCTGGACTCAGGACCCTCCTTCCTAAGGGAGCTTTGTCCTTACTTAGAGAGTCAGACTATTTTGTTGCCAGCCTACTCAGAGGCCTTAGCCCACAGGAAGAGCTTGAAGAGGCCTGGTTACCTGCCTGACCAGCCCCATTCAGTGACCAAGTGACCACCCAATGCACTGACTACTCCCAGAGGGCGCAGTTTCCCTCCTTCATCCGGAGGCTCAAGGCTAAGGACTAGCCCATGGGAAGGTAGAAGATTCTTTAAGTTGGTCCACTGATCTTCTGTCCCCCTCCCTTCTCCATATTGTGGACTTCTTTCAGAGCCTTCTGGTCAGTGACTGCTGCCCTCCCAGACTCAGCTCCAACCTCATCACCTGGTTGGCCTGGCCCCTTGGTGGGTGTTCACTGCCAGTTAGGGCCGTGACAGAAAAAAAGAGCATTGTGCTTCTTCCCCTCATCAAACCTGTGCAAGGAGCATGGAGTGATGTTGAGGTTAACACCTGGGCTTGAGTCCCTGCACCAACGTTAACCAGCAGAGCTAGTTACCTCAGAGCCTCAGTGTGCTCATCAGATGCATAGAGATAATGAAAGCACCGAGGCCCAGAGCTATGCGGAGGCTTCGGGAGCATGGAGAACATGCGTGTGAAGGCTTAGCTGCATTAGAGCGTGTAACCCAGCTTCTGTGCTATAGGAAGTGACCAGTCTATGCTGGTGAGCGAAACCAGTGCATGGGAACGGTCCCATCAACCTCCTCTGCGGGAGTCCGCTCGGGAACACCCTCACCTCCATGTCTCCTTCTAAGTGACCTCTGCAGAGCCTGTCCCTTCGCTAGGCCAACCCCTTATCTCCTCCCTGACAGGTGTCACTTTGGTTTCAATACCTCGTTTCCCCTGAATCCTCATGCCCCCAAAGGCACTCCTCCCTAGCCGCACACACTTCCATTTCTTCAAATTCCTTAAGCTATTTGAATAGACATCTCTCCAAAGAAAATACTCAAATGGCCAATAAGTACATGAAAAGATGCTCGATATCATTACTCATTAGGGAAATGTTAATCAAAACCGCATGCGATATCGCTTCCTACCCACCAGGGTGGCCATAATCAAAAAGACACAATAATAAGTATTACAAGGATGTGGAGAGATTAGAAACATCATACGCTGGTGGAGGGAGGATAAAATGGCGCAGCCACTTTGGAAAACAGTTTGGCAGTTTCTTAAAAAGTTGAACGGAGTTGCCACGTGACCCAGGAATTCCACTCCTGGCTATATACCCAAGAGAACTGAGAACATATGTCGACACAAAAACGTGTACAACATATGAATGTTCACAATACCTGAAACCTAAATAAAATGTGATGTATGTTCACACAATGGGATATTCTCCAGCCATGGAAAGGAACGACGTACAGATGCCCGCTATAACATCATTCTCCGTGAAAGCAGTAAGGCAAAAAATTACGTATTGTACTATTTCCTTTATATGAACTTATATGAAATATCCAGAACAGGCAAACCCAGAGAGCCAGAAAATAGATTTGTGGTTGCCAGACGCTGGGGAGAGGGAGGACTGCTAACCGGTATGGGGTTCCTTACTGGGATGGTGAAAATGTTCTGGAATGAGTGACAATGATGTATACCCTTTTTAATATACCAAAACCCACTTAATTGTGTGCTTTAAAAGGGTGGGGTTTATGGCATATGAATTATACCTCAGTTGAAAAAAATTCCTCAGGCTCCCAGCTACGTTGTGTGAGGAGCGCAGACCCTTCGCTTCTGTGGCCCCTCCCTGGGTCTGCCTTCGGGGTCTGGAGATGGAGAGTCCCCATGTCCCTGCCTGGGTCAGGGGTGTCCTTGCATCCGTTTCCAGGCTCCAAAAGGAGCTTGTTGAATGAGGGGAAACTCCTACCAGGTTAAGAAACATATGAAACAATGGGGGAGGCTTCCGTGGGAAGCGGGGCCCCAGGAGGGGAGGAAGGCCAAGGGGGTTGGTTTCCATTTGAGTGGAAGGGTGGAGTCTCCCGAAGCCGGACTTCCGAGCTCCGCACTGAGGTGAAATGTCAGGAGACCCTAGGAGATGGTCCTGAATGGGGTTCAGCTTTGCTCTCACTGCAGTGAGTAGGATACAAGCAAGATTACCATGGTTACCATGGAGCAACCCAGACATGCCTAATGGGGCCAAGGATCCAGATTGTAACCACAGCTCTGCCTCCTGAGTCATCACCACACTTGGGGAATTCAGTTTGTCCAGGGTGAGGGAGATGGTTAAGTGGGATCACCTCTGAGGGCCCTTTCTGCCCCGACCAGCAACATGGTTTGATGTATGAGTTGGAGATGGGGTTAGGTAACTCTAGGATTACACGCAGGGTGGTGCCCTGTGGGGGCATTGGTATCTGTTCTGAACTACCCCCAGGAAAAACCTTTACGCCCTGACTATGGTCCAAGCCTTGACCCTAAATCTGTGATCCTACCCTGAGCCAGAGAGACCCACAGCCAGACTCAGCCTCCAGGAGCACTGGATGTCTCTTAGCTACAGGCCCGAGCGGGGCTAAGGCTGTACACACCTCCTGCGAGAGTCCCTGCTTGAAGGGTATGGAGTGTGGCTGGCAGCTTCTCCCTAGAAGAAAGGTTTATGCTGGGAATGGTATGAAGGTGTGGGATGGGAGGTCCCAGCTGGTATCCGGTTAGCATGGGTGCATGGATCACGTACCCTCTTAGGAAGGGCCCTCCCATCGCTGGGCCTCAGGAAGGCTGGGGGTGCTCAGATTGCCACCAACCCCTGGAACACCCTGGGTGACCTGGGGCAGGGCCATTCTCTGGGATTCCATCGCCACTCTGACCTCCTGGATGTCTGTCCCACAGGGCCAGTGGGTGAGGAGCCCCAGATACCAGGCAAGGACACCAAGGCCATGATGAGTGCAGAAGACACACCTGGAGGCCAAGCCAGCCCAAACCCTCAGGACTTGAGGCGAAGTGTGTTCTATAGCATCAAGGTATCACTGAGGGCCTTCCGGGAACAGGGCCATCTGAGCCTGGCAGAGAAGGCTGTATGACTCCAAGCAAGCTGCTGCCTTTCTCTGAACTTCAGTTTCCACATCTATAGAATGGGTGGCCATGAGAATCAAAGGGATAATCCACTAAACCATTTAGCTTGGTTTGGGGCACATGTTCCCTCCTTCAGAAAAGAAAGAAGGGCTGCTCTGTGGGCAGTGGGGGACCAGGCTCCTTGCCTCCCATTTCCCTAGAGGGAAAGAAAAGGACTCCAGGGGTCCTGAATCTGTAGGAATGTTGGGGAGCTCTGGCTCCTCCAGGCATCCTAAACAGCCAGGCATACCCTGGGTGCCAGGGCCTGCTTGGTCCTCACGGTAGCCCTGAGGGGCAGGGACGCAGTCCTTGCTGTACACAAGAGGAAACCAAGACTCAGAAGAACAGAGGGAATATTTTTAAGCTCTGGCATAAACACCTTTCTTTGAAGTTAGTTTTCTTCTCCTGGGAATTCTACCGGTTCATCCGGAGGGAGGCCCGGATGTTTGGGGTGAGGCTAGGTGGGGTAGGCAGCTTGAGGATTCGGTGTGTGCCAGTGGTCTCCCAGGGGAGCTCTAGGGGAGGAGTGGGTGGGCTGAGGTGGAGAAGGATCTGGGAGCGCTTCCTGGAGAAAGGGGCAGGGTGGTGGAACAGGGAGGAAGGTGCAGTCCAGCCCAGGGGGGCTCTGCAGGTCAGAGTGGCTCCCATCGTTCTTGGCCCCAGAAAGACCTTACTCTCAGTCATGTAGGTCTCAGGTGGCACCGAGACCCCGTGAACGTACCCAGGACAGTGTGTCGTTTTTAGGCCTGTGTGAGGAGCCATGGGCTACTCCAGTAACTCTCTCTCTTTCTCTCTCCCCCTCCCCTTATTCTTGACTCTCTCTCTCTCCTGTGTGTCTGTCTCGTCTGACTCTGTTTCCCCATCTCTATTCCTTGCTCCTCCCTTTCCCCAACGCCATCCCTGTCGCCCAACCACCACCCTCTCTAACTGAATCCCCACCTATCTCCCTGCCCCGCCCTGGCCGGCCGGCCCCCGCCTGGGCCCCCCCCCCCCGGCAGTTCTTCGTCCTGTGTCACAGCCTGCTGCAGCTGGCACAGCTCATGATCTCCGGCTACCTCAAGAGCTCCATCTCCACAGTGGAGAAGCGCTTTGGCCTCTCCAGTCAGACCTCAGGGCTGCTGGCTGCCTTCAACGAGGTACTGGCCCTGGTGCAGCCACGGGGGTGGGCGCCCCCACTTCCTCACCCCCCTCTCTCACTAGCCTGACATAAGCCCCTTCCCGGCCCGGGACCCACAGGCCACCCCGCCACAGCTTCCTCCCCACATCTCCTTAGCCAGCTCCTTCTTCGTGTCCTGGTAGAGAAACTGACCTCTGCCTCCTTGTGAGGACGGAGGACAGCACGGGCAGTCCTGCCCTTGGGGCCACTCTGATGGTCGGGCTGTGGGGTCTTGTAGAGCTAGTCAGAATTCCCATACCCACCCACTCTCCCTTTCGTTCCTTTATGTGGCTATTGCCTGTCCCGGGGAGGAGTCGGAGGAAGTCACTTCCATAGTAGTGAGACAGACTTAAAATCTGAGATCAAAGGCAGAACTTTGGGTGCAGTGGGTGGCGGGGGGGGAGGGAGTGATAGCGTGGCATGAGTGTCTTCTCAGAGTTGCTCGGAGATCCCTAAGTCTGGGGCCCACAGCCAAGCAGGGAGAAGGGGACAAGCTGCTTTGGGGGGATTTAGAGATCAGGATCCAGCTGTGCCCCAGCACCCCCTCCACCAGATGTTTTCCCACCTCAGAGAAGGCCACTGTCTGGAGGACTCTTTCTTCCCTCCCCACAGCAGATTTCTAGGCCATTCTCTCCCCCTGGCCTGCCAACGACACAGCACCCCCAGATAGTCCTCAGACCCCACCTCCAGATCTCAGAGGTGGGAAGGAAACGTCATTACCTAGCTCTGGGACCTTGGGGAAGTCACTCCCCACCTCTGGGCCTCAGTGTCCCACCTATAAAATGGAGAGTGGCTATCCTTCTCAGGGTTGGTCCTCCTACCAACTTTCTTGTGAATACTGCTCCCCGCCAGCAGCAAGGAGCCTGGGGCTCGGGGTGAGTACAGGAGCCCAGAAGCAGTGGGGTGGGCAGCTTGCCCCTTCCCTGCGAACTCTCTAGTCCCCTCCAGTGCCCACATCCTCAGTTTTTTATTCTAAGGCTTAAAATTCCGAACCTTAGTCCTCTCGCTTTAGATTTTGTTTGTTTGTCTCAATCATGATATCCCAGAAACTTAAAAACCCTTCCCTTGACTCCTCCATGTTCTAACATGGGGTCCAGCCCATTTTCCAGAATGAAATGGAATGGCTAGCCTTGTCCACGTTGCCCTTGTTTCTATCCCCTAATGGGGGCCGTGGGGCCCCTCCTAGGAGGACCCAGCATCTGCATTAAGAGGGGCCCAGATGATTCTCATTCTGTCAGCTAGTCCTTTAGACTGAGGGCAGCACCAGGCTGGTGATAGAAGCAGGGGTGGTTCTGGCCTCTGGTGGCTCTGCTGCACTTGAATGGGTCCCCTCATCCCTTGGCAGGTGGGGAACACAGCCCTGATTGTGTTTGTGAGCTACTTTGGCAGCCGGGTACACCGGCCCCGACTGATCGGCTACGGGGCTGCCCTTGTGGCCCTGGCAGGCCTGCTCATGAGCCTGCCACACTTCATCTCGGAGCCATACCGCTACGACCATGCTAGCTCCGGTAAGAGCAGAACGGGCTGGGCTGGAGACGGGCACCAGGAGCTGCCTTACCATGCACCGGGGTCCATTCCCAGGCCCATGGGTCAGGATGGGCCCAGCTCCCCTGGGCACTTGCTGGTCCTCCCCACTCGCTCCGTCCCAGCCTGGACGGGTCCTCCTGGCAGTCCTGGGGAGTGGGGGAGGGGGGTCGTTCTGCGGCAGGGGGGTGTAACCCTCTGGGCCTCCCTTGGTGAGGGCCTGCTTGTGTGTCACTGTGTTTTTAAGGTGGGGTGAATGTACAGCACAGCCTGCTTTAGGGCCTGGCATACAGTAGGTCCTCAGGAAATGTTTGTGGGCTAATAATAGTATCACGTACCACTTCTGGTGTACCAAACACTCTTCTAAGTACTCTATGTGTTTTAGTGCATTTAATCCTCCCAAGAAGCCACGACATTAATGAAAGAATGAATGAGTGCATGAACAGATTAAAAAATGAAAGAATTTTATTTTATTTTTTTAAAGATTTTATTTATGGGATGTCTGGGTGGCTCAGTTGTTAAGCGTCTGCCTTCGGCTCAGGTCATGATCCCAGGGTCCTGGAATCGAGTCCCACATCAGGCTCCTTGCTTAGTGGGGAGCCTGCTTCTCCCTCTCCCTCTGCTGCTCCCCCTGCTTGTGCTCTCTCTCTCTGACAAATAAATAAATAATTTTATTTATTTATTTGTCAGAGAGAGACACAGCAAGAGAGGGAATACAATCAACGGGGAGAGGGAGAGGGAGAAGCAGGCCTCCCGCTGAGCAGGGAGCCCAATGCGGGGCTCGATCCCAGGACCCTGGGACCCAACTCGAGCTGAAGGCAGACGCTTAATGACTGAGCCATCCAGGCGCCGCCCCCCCCCAAATGAAAGAATTTTAGACAGTAATAGTGAAGCCCAGTGAGATTTTGTTGAGGGCCTACTCAGGTAGGTGCCTGTCCCTTGGAGAATAACCCAAGAAGCCTGAGCTTCATTCCTTCGATATTCCATCCACCCATCCATCCACCCATCCAGTGACCCACCCATCACCCATCTATCTACTCTTCCATCCATCCATCCATCCATCCATCCGTCTACCCACCCATCTATCCACTCTTCCATCTATATCCATCATCCATCCATCCATCCATCCATCCAGTGGTCAACCCAGTGAACCCTTAGTGTAGCCTACTTTGTGTCAGACCTTCTCAGGCAACTCAAGACTCCAGGGAGCTTCCAGCATGGGAGAGGAGACAAGAGGCAAACAAAAACCCTGCAATGTGTCATTTGTGCGAGGAAGGGAGCACAGGGGCCAGCCTGGCATCATGGAAGCCTTCCCAAGGGAAGAGGGCTGTCAAGAGAGCATTGCCTCCCTTGCTCACACCCCAGAGCTCACACCCCAGAGCTCCCACTCTGTGCCAGGACCCGGGGTGGGAAGAGGGAGCAGTACAACCAGCCCTGAGAAGCTCCCAGGGAGGCCCAGGTTAGAGGCATGGGCAGCTCTGCTATAGGGTAGAGACTCCAGCTCACTGGGAGTCAGCCAGAGACAGCTGGCAGAGCCCTGAGTGGGGTGGGGGATAAGGAGGAGGTGGACGTTTCGAGTTCAGGGAGCCGCAAGGGCAATGGCGAGGAAGTGGGAAAGTAGAGAGTGTACGTGAACAGCTTAGAGGGGTTATCGAGGCCCAAGGGAAAGCCGTCAAAAGGCCTGATTGGAATACTGGGGGACAAAAATACATTTCTGGGTCCAGAATTTTCACTTCAACAGAGCTTTTTCTGTGCAGGGTCTACACGTTCTTCCTCCGCCCTGCCACACAACACCCCTCTGCCATGGGGGCCCCGGGAAAGCCTTAGCGCAGCCCTTCTCCTGCCTGAGCCTGTCTCTGATGAGTATACTAGGCTTGGTGACCGCCAGGCACCCGGCCTGCTCTGGCATCCCCGACTATTTCATTCACTCCTTCTTCACCCAGCATGGATTAGTTTATCACTATTACTTCTCTACCAGGCCCCCTGCGAGGCCCTGGTGTCACAGGGGAGCAAAAAGAAGACAGAGCCCTATAATAGTCATCGCCTGAAATGTCTAGTAGGCTCTGTGCACGGGCAGCACTCACTCTCCATGTTTATGGCCCGGTATCGGGTATTAGCAGCACCCTATTTTACAGGTGAGGAAACCGATGTTCAGAGAGAAGGGGATCTCCTCAAGGCCCACAGCTCGTGGGGACATGACATGTCCAGGTGGCTTGGCTCCAGAGCCCCTGCTCTGAACCACTGAATTATTCTGCTTCTGAATTCTGAATTTCTGTAGAACTTCCATTCTAGGAGACTCTTCAGAGGTGAGGAAACTGAGGCCCAGATAAGTTGAGGGCCTCCATCCAAGTCTCCCAGGCTTCAACTCATGCAACCTTGGTTGAAGGTCCAGGTCTTTGACCCTGGTTCACATGGCTTTTTCTCAAGAGTCCCAGCTTCCAGAAAAGGCTGGGCAGGCCACACAGAGAAGGCCACATCTACACCCACATTTGGGGTAATAATAGCACGAGGGTCTCTTTAAGTTTGCTCACCAAATATTGGTGAGTTACAGGGAGCAACTGTCTGGTGCTAAATTAAGAAATTCCCCTTTACTGAACTCTGCATCTGTGTCCTGAGCTGACACAGAGCCCACCCAAAATGAAAGCCAAGGGCCCTAGAGCCTTCCACACTCCAGGCCCAGCGTCCCTCCCCTGCCTGGCCCTGCCTTCAACCCTGGCCTGGTCCCTCACACTCTATTATGAGTCTGCCCTGCTGAACTTCTGCCTGTGTTGTGACCTCTCCCTGGAGCACCCCTCCCACCTTCTCTTTCTGGAAATTCTTGTTCTTCTTGGTCCTGTTCAAACTCATCTCTTTTGACAGCCCCACCCCACCCGAGGGCCACGGTTGCAATGGAACTTCCACATACCTCTGCTCAGAAAGGTGGCATAGGGTAGTTTAAGAGCATGGACTCGAAGCCAAGCTGCCTGGGTTCCAATCCTGGCTCTGCCTTTGCTAGTTGCTGCCTGAGCATCAGTTTCCTCGTCTGTGCAATGGGTGTAATAAGAGCACCCATCCCCTAGGTTTGTTGCAGGGAGGGAGGCAAATGGTTTATGTACACAGCACCTAAAATGGTAACTTGCATCCAGTGCACACTGTGTTAAGAGTCTTAGCTTTCGTCATAATATTTTTTATCATCTCGTAGTGGACATGCCACAGGATTTTGAGGCTTCTCTGTGCCAGCCCACAACCTCGGTCCCAGCCCCAACCCCAGCCCCCTCCAACAGCAGCTGCTCAAGCTACATGGAGGCCCAGCACCTGGCTGTGGTGGGGATAATGTTCACGGCCCAGACCCTGCTCGGCGTGGGCGCGGTGCCCATTCAGCCCTTCGGCATCTCCTACATCGATGACTTTGCCCACAACAGCAACTCGCCTCTCTACCTTGGTGAGAACCGGGCTCAGAGGGAGGGCCAGGTTCAGAGGTCGGAGGATGAGAGGACCAGGTAGGGGCTGGGCAGAGTTCCTGACCTCTGCCCCACGTGGCCAGGAAAGGTCTGGAGAAGCCCTGGGAGTTTCCTGGGCCTGACCAGGGGAGACGGACCGCTCTTGCCTGTTGGAGACTGACCAGGTGCTGATCTGCAGAGGGAAGCCAGGGCCAGGGGGCCTAACCCAAGCTTTGTGTTGCAGGGATCCTGTTTGCAGTAACCATGATGGGGCCAGGCTTGGCCTATGGGCTGGGCGGCCTCATGCTGCGCCTTTATGTAGACATCGACCGGATGCCAGAAGGTGAGCCTCAAAGAGCACACAGCCGTCCCTGGGGGCACACAGCTGCTAGCTCACTGACCACTGGCCTCATGGGAGACACTGAGCCGGGGGCTCACATTCAAACCCTAGCGATCCCGCTGACCTTGGACGTGCCTCTTAACCTCTGAGCCTCAGCTTCCTCATCTTTGAGACACTCTCCATCCTGTCCACCTCCCCAAGCTGCGATCAGAATCCAATGAGAAATGAAGATAAGCTGCAGAACACCACCAGATGGGCAGTCGTCTTGTCGCTGCTATTCTGATGCCTCTCCACTCGGTCCCGTCCCTGAGCTCCCCCCGACCCCGGCCCGCGGTCAGATACACTGCGGGGCAGACAGGGGCACACACGCTCTTGGCCTGTAGGGAGCTCCCACCTTTAGGGGGAACAAGACCCAGGTGAAACAGAGAAGCATGCGGGAGAGAACTTCTGGAGCAGGACTCGGTGAGCTTGGGCCTACTTCAGATGGGAAATTTCCTGGGTGACCTCTGAAGACCCTTCTAGTTCTGACCACCTCAGAGTCTGGGAACCTGGGCCGAGTGCCCCGCTCAGGGAACAGCAGTCTCTGATGCAGGCAGTAGTAGGGGGCAGGGCAAGGAGTGGGACCGAAGCTTGGTCTGAAGGCAGCCAGGAGCAGGGAGTGTGCGGGTCCCCGAGCTCTGACACCCTGCAGGGAGTAGGAGAGGATTCCTCTCACCTGGAGACTTCCAGCAAGCCCTAGAAACCTCAGGGGATACACGTGTCACTGGATGGACACGCCGATTCTGATTCCTGTTCTCTGGCTTTTGCACGAGGGTGCCTCCTGGGCAGCTCTGAATAAGACTCACTAGGGATAGTCCTGCCCCACCTTCCTTCCTTCTAGAAAGCGGGGCCCAGCAGCCCAGTGTGAGCTCTGGTTGGCCTCCTCAGGTTGCCCAGACATGCCCCAGCTCCAGGAAGGTGGTGTGTTTTCGGGCTCTGTTGACATCATCGTGGCAGATGTGGCTCCTCCGTGGGCAGATGTGGTGCTCCTGTAGACGGATCTTCCTGCCTTTCTCTATGGGGGATTTCATGGGGTGGGCAGATCATGTCTGCTGCAGGCACAGACGAGTGCGTGAGAAGCGGGGGAGTCGGGGAGATGCCTGTGCTCGGGCTCGCCAGGCTGGCACAGAAGCAGGGGGAAGAATAGCTGGAGGAGGGAATTAGTAACAAAAGCCACCTTCATCCCCAGCTGATATGTGCGCTGAGTGCCGATTGTATACTCTGACCCTGGCCAGGAGCACTCAGGCCCAAGCACCTGGGAACCAGCCCTAGTCCTGGGCTTGGTATCATCGTACATCTGTGTGGTTAGAAAGCATTTGCGGATGCTGTGGCCATTGAAGGAGGAGGTATCCGACTCGGCCTCGAGGTCAAGGGCTTGGATGGGAGAAGCGGTCAGGCCAGCCAGGAGGCACATCTGGAATAATCTAGTCCTAATTATACCTGGGGAACTCGCTAAAGGGAAGACTCCTTGGTCACCTTCCCGCTCCACCCCGTGGTAGTTTTAAGTTGATCTTGGGTATTCTTGACAAGCACCGTGGTGATTTTAATGACTCAGGTCTGAGAAGCACAAGAGGGGTCCTAACGATCGATTTAATAATAATAATAATAATAATAATCACAACAACAACAACAGTAGGGTGAGGAAGAAGAACAAACAGGTGCACAGCACATACTACGTGCTTTACCTGTATTGGTTTCTGGGGTTCTCACAATGACCCTGTGGTGTAGGTACTACGATTGTCTGTATTTTATAGAGGAAGACCCCGAGGCACAAAGAGGTTAAGTAATTTGCCCAAGGTTATATTAGTAATGGAATTCAGACTCAACAGTCCATTTCCAAAGTCCATAACCTTGACCGCTACACACAATGCCTCAGTAGTCGGAAAGCTGAGGTCCAGGAGGGATCAAGGCCTTGCCCAAGGTCACACGGGACGTAACTGGCAAAGCCACACTGGAGCCTAGGTCTCCTGACTCCTGGTCCCTGGGGCCAGCTCGTGTCTCAAAGGCCAGTCCCAGGGTGGTGGCCAAGAAGGGACAGCCCGTCCTGACCCTAACATCACCATGGTCTTCTCTTCCAGGTGGTATCAGCCTGACCTCGAAGGACCCCCGATGGGTGGGGGCCTGGTGGCTGGGCTTCCTCATCTCCGCCGGTGCGGTGGCCCTGGCTGCCGTGCCCTACTTCTTCTTCCCCAGGGAGATGCCCAAGGAGAAGCACGAACTCCGCTTTCGGCAAAGGGCCTTGGCAGCCGCAGCCTCCTCTGTCAGCAAAGTAAGCCCCCTCCGTGGGCCCACCCTAGTCCAGGCTCCAGCCCCCACCCACCCATCCTCCCTTGTAACCTTAGACTTATCCCTCCTGGGCACTGCACTTCACAGCTTACAAAGCCCTTCTGTCCAGGCTCCATCCACTGCATCCCCCAACAGCCCCACACAGTGAGTACGTCCTGGCCCTTGCACGCTGAGGAGATTAGGGGCCCGAGGAGGAAGTGACCTAGCCAAGATCACACGGCCAGTGAGGGCAGCACTGGGGTGAGAACCCCAGCCTGTCCGAGCCCACGCCCTCTGTCTAACCATCACACTGTCTGCCTCTCTGCTTGTCACTTCATGGTTTCTGTGAGTTCTAAACGTGGTGCGCCGGAGCAATATTGAGAAGTAGGAGGAGGTGGAGAATGGGTGTGGGGTCTGAGAAGACTTCTCTGAAGGGGCAGGAATGGAGCTGGACTCTGAAGGATGGTGGAAGCCTAGGGAGGGGAGAGGGAGCATTCTAGATGTGGACACAGCGTGGACAAAGGGTTCAGCTGTAGAAATTAATCCAGCCTTTCCAGAAGCAGTGAGGGGACAAATGCGTACTGAGGGCGTCCTCGGGGCCATGTGTCAGGCCGACACTGGAGCTCAGCACATGGCCTCTACCCTTAAAACAGGCACAGCCTAGTGGGGACCAAGATTCATTGATAAGTAACAAGCCATGAGGTGCTCGAGGAGATCTCGCTGAAACCCCCCGCTCGGCTGAGGGGCAGGTGGTTTTTCCTCAGAGGAGATCCCCTGGGCAGGAGAGATGATTCTGGGTGGGGGGCCTCCAAGCTTTCCAGAGGCTCACCAAAACACTAGGCCTTAAAAACGATCAATTGACTCCAGAGTACAAAAGAAAATGACAAAATAGAAACTTTTATAAAAGTTAAATGTGTCATTAATGTTGACCTTATCGAATTTTCTTTAGCACTCAGACATTTCATTACATTCTGAAAATTTGCACCTTCATTTTCTCTTTCCCCGAGTACCCACACACAACATTTCTGTGACCCAAGTATGTGGGGTGATTCTCACGCCGACCAATTCTCTGCGCCACCCACTAGGCGTCCTGTAATTTCACTCAATTCTGACACTGTCTACCTGGAGATAGCATCTGATCCCACAGCTTAGGGCTCAGTCCCACTTCAGTCGCAGGTAGTAGGCCCATCCCCAGGTGACCCACAATTTCTGTCCTACTTGGCTACAGATCGGGGGTTCCAACAACCCCTTTCTTGGATTCCATCATTTGTTAGAACAGTTCACAGAACTCAGGAAAGCACTTACTTCATGTTTACCAGCTAATTATGTAATAGGGGATATGATAAAGGGTATTGATAAACAGCCAGATGAGGAGATACACAGGGAGGGGACTGGGAGGGTCCCGAATACAGGAGCTTCTGTCCCTGTGGAGTTGGGGTATGTCACCCTCCCGGCAAATGGATGTGCTTACCGACCTTGAAGCTCCCTGAACCCCATACTATTAGGATTTTGTGGGGGTGTTCTCCATATAGACATGATCAATCCTTAACTCCATTTCCAGCCCTTCTCCCCCCTCTGGAGAATTGGGGGTGGGGGTGGGGGAGCTGAAAGTTCTAAGCTTGTAATCGTGGCGTGGTCTCTCTGGTGACCATTTCCCATCCAAGAGCCCACTGAGAGTCATCTCATTAGAACAAAAGATGTTCTTCTCGCCCAGGAAATTGCAAGGGATTTAGGAGCTTGGTGTCATTTCCTAGCACGCAGGAAATCACACAGATATTAGGAGCTCTGTGTCAGGAACTGGGGTCAAAGACTAAACACTAGAAGTTTCTCCTAAGCACTCTTAATTTACAAGAGTTTTAGGAGCTCTGTGTCAGGAATATATACATTTGCATATATATATTTCTTATTATTTCACAGGGAAGCAATTGTTGAGAAATCACAATCATAAATTATTTGTTGCTAAGTAATTCTAGTTTCAAAGGGATGATTTGTAAAAAGCCTGTCAAGTATTTTGCAACAAGAATAATTCTATTTAATGAGGCATGTTGGTACATTTGAATATGCTGGCTGTGATGGGAGAGAGGCCCTCCTCCTTAGAGCAAGAACGTCTGGGCCTAGGAGAGAGGGCTGAAAATGTCTTCGTCTAGAAAAGCTAGAATTTGAGCCCAAGTCTGTCCAAGCCCAAAGGTGGCTGCTCTGTGAACCTCACTACCCATCGCCCACCCCCTGCGGGAGCAGAAGTTTTACTCATGGGAGACCAGTGAAAATTGATGTTAGAACAGCCAATAGGGGGCAGATCAGAAAAGGCCTTGCCTGCCAGCTTCAAGAGCAGCTGGTCGCCCTGGAAAGAGGGTAAACGGGGGTCCCATGGCTCTATCACAGGGTCTAAGCCGAGAAAGGGAGAGAGGAAGGGGGGGCGGGGAGACTGGTGCAGCCGCTCTGGCTGTGGTTCAGGTGGGAAGCCGTGCACCCACAGTGGTGCGGGGTGGGGGGGCGGGGGGCAAAGGGAAAAGTTGTAGGAGCCGCCCAGGAGAGACACTGCCCAGCCCGGGCGCTGCTCCACTATGGGACATCCCGGGACAGTGCGGGGCTGGGCTGGTGCTGGGCTCAGAGGCAGGGGCGGGGCAGGCCCTGCAAGCGACCAGTTTCAGGGGAAGAAGGCACTTGAAACCACAGAGGGCCCTTCCCGGTTCTGCCTAGCTCAGGCCAGAATTTGAATGAGATAAGAATTCCTAGACCTTGGGGGAAGAGTTCTTAGAAGTAGGGGTGGTCACAGAGGAAGTGAGGAGTTCCTGGTTACCGGCAATGTCCAGGTTGGGCCTCACATCTGAACAGAGGACAACCGCTTGCGCCGTGGGGCAGACTATATGGAAGAAGCCAGTGGGCGGCATGGCTGGGCTCGGGCATGTGGCCCCTGTGTGACCTTGAGCAAGACACTTCCCCATTCTTTTCGGCCGCGGGAGATGCCGAGGGTTGATTCCCGGAGCCATAGTCTGTGCGCCTGGAAGTCTTAAGAATGCACAGTTTCTTGAGGCGAAGCTGCTGTGTACAGACATCTGGATTTGAAGAGCGGCATCTCTGTGATGCTTGGAAACCCTGCTCCCCGGCTGTGAACCTGTCTGGCTGTCTGGATTCATTCTGTCAGCACACTGGGGATGGGCAGTGAGGAAGGAAGGGGGTGAGAGGTTCTTAAAAAAGAGCCGAAGGCTGAGAACACGATGATCGGCTTCCAGCAGCTCGCAGGCAATAAATATTGATGTGGGAGGAATTGTTGCCCGCCCCTCCCCCCTCCTCGAGGCTGCCTCGGCCAGCTCTGCTGACTCGGGCTGGCCCAGCCCACTGAGGCCACTGAAGGGGAGGTAGGTGGACTGGGAGGAAGGGCCCAGTTAGGTAGAATTGGCAGCCAGAAGGGCCAGGTCCACAGACATGGGAGGTGTATCTTCTGTAGAGAGTGGGAACAGGCATGGGTGGGGGTGGGGGGAGGGAAGTGAAGGGGAGACTCTTTCTGAAATCCCTTCGAGTATCTTCTCCCAGGCTCAGGGGTCCCCCAAGTAGCCTCCTACAAGTAAATGCAGTTTTTAATGGTGATATGGTGGAATGTAATATCAGGGTTTTGTGACCCAGTGAAGGTCTCTGACCTCAGTCTCTTCATCTGTACAACGGGCAGAAGATTGGACAGGGTCTACCAGCTCTGACAGGTTGAGTGATGTCTTCTCTAAATGGAGCAGTACAGGAGCCCTTCCACTGTGGGAGAAAAGGGTGCAGTCCACAGCCTCTGCCCCCAAGAAGCTCTTAGGTAATGAAGGAAGGCCAGATGCAGACGGACAGGGGGATGACTGGCTGCTCAGGCTTCTCCCACGGCCAGTGCTTAGAGTCCTCTGCCTGTGGGGAGGGGAGCATGAACAGTCTCCACAGAAAAGATTATGAGATGGTAGATGGGGGAAGCCATCCAGGACATGGAGGGGCAGGATCTCTTGCTTTCCTGCCTTTGGTTCTGCCCATGTATCTGTGACCTCATGGTGGCCACCAGATATCCTTCTAGGAGTGAACCAGGGCGTGTGTTAGCTCTCTGTGAGCCTCAGTCTCCCTGTAGTCTCCCTTTCTATATATAATCAGCCCGTGTCCAGGGTCCTGTCAAGCCCCAGGGCTCCTAGAACATGGTTCTGTAGGGCCTGTGAGGTAGAGATGGCCTCTTAGGGGCTCTCTGGCAGGTCATCTGGCCCTCTCTGTCCTTCTGGTCATAGGACCCCATCAGTCAGCAACCCTCCTTTGCCCTCCATACCCTCAGGTCCCTCTGAGTGCCTGCCCTTGAGGCTGGGCCAGGGGCTGAGAAAGGCCTTGTCCACCGAGAGCCCCTGTCCCTGCCCGGCCTCTGAGCACCACTGGCCTCTGCCATTTTCTCTGGGTTCCTATTTCCCAGGAGTCTCCATGTCTGTTATTCTAAGCCATCTTCCAGAGTGTGGGTTTCTAATATTACACAGTTTTAAAGTTCTGTGTTTCTAAAGTACTTGTGTTCTATTACTCTATGATTCTATGCTTCGAATGATCTTTGACTCCCCAAATTCACATTTCTACATGGCTATAATTTTGACCTACAAGTCTAGGCGTGTATGAAATCTGTTTTCTCCCGATCATTAACCTGATGTGCTTCTTTGGGAGAATGGTCAAGGATGGGGGCAGGAGTGGGCAGTGGCAGTGGCCCTTAAAACCCAGAACTTACAGCCACCTGGGAGGCTTCTGTTCTTCTTGGACTTCGTGCTCCTTCTGCAGCCCCTGGGAGGTCCAAGGTGACTCGGGTCTGCCTCCGGACCCTTCCCAGCCAGCCCAGGAGCCCTCATATGTCCTTCTCCATCCCTCGAAACCCAGGCCTTGGACGCCACCCTCACCCCTCCTTGACGCTCCAAGGTAGAAGGTCTTGTGTGATCATCCAGTTCAACCCCCACTCTACCTTACAGATGGAGGGATTCAGGCCCAGAGAGGGTCAGGGTTGTGCCCAGAGTTTGGCCAGCACCACCTCCCCCTGTACCAGTCTGTACCAAGCCAGGTCTTGGCCCCACAGGGCCAAGGTGAGCCTCACCCCTCCTCACGGGTGGTGTAGATCAGAGCTTCCTCAAACACTGGGACTGGAAGGCTCTTCAGTGATTTCAAACTGTACCCACAGAACCCCAAGGTGCCACCATAGGGAGACTGAAGAGCGGTGTCCCCCAATAGGACTAAGGGCCTTCTACCTCCCTGCACACACACACACACGCAACACACACACACACACACACACACACACCAATCAGATTCTAGTTTTATGTGTTTTTATATCAGTTTTTTGAGTGAGGTTTCAATTGGAGAAAGGGTTTTGCTGCTGAAAACCCAGTTTTAAAAACACTGATCTAGACCAATACCCCCGTTTGGCGGTGGAGGAGACTTGAGTCTCACTAAGAGAGCTGATCGGTAGCTGATCTGGCCCGGGAGGCTCCTCGGTGCCTGAGGCATCCACACTGGCTTCGGGCGGCTAGCAGCAGGAGCCAGACACGCCTCCGCACTTGGAACTCTGAAATCTATAAATCTATAAAATGGGTATAATCCTAACATCCACACCTTGGGATTTTTGTAAGAATGAAACGAGGCAAAATGGGAAGTGGGTTGTTCAGTGACCCGGAGTGTTTATTCTTAATATCTTTCTCTGATCAAGCCAGCTCTTAAGAGGAAAAATAATGGAAAAATTACCTTTTTTCTAATATTCTTACAGCTCACGCCAAACTCACGTACCGAACTAGTAGGAGTGGGAAATTAGGCTGACATCTATCGCTTACTCTGGACCATGCATTGTTTAAGCCCTTTGTATGTGTTATCTCACTTAATCTTTGTAATCCGCCTATAAAATAGGTTCAGCTATAACCCCCATTTACACCTGAGGGGTCAAGTTACGGAGAGATTAAATAACTTGCCCACAGGGCTAGTGAAGGGTGGAGCTGGGAGTCAGACCCTTGGGAAGGGCATCGCGGGACCTGAGCCGAATCACTCAGTCAGGACCAAGAAGCAGGAAAAAGGGGGTATCAGCAAGAGAAGGGGAAACTTAGGAGCATGGACCACAAAGATGAATTCAGTTGATGTAACCGAACCCCTTATTTGTTTCTGAGTTGCCGGTGGCCACAGGGACACGGTAAGCATGGCCAGTTGCACGGATCTCAATATGAGAAAGCCGGAGGAAGTGTGTGGCAATCCTCGGTGGAGCTCCGATCTCCGGGCGCTCTGCTAGAAACACGATCTCCCTCCCACGGCGGTGGGAAGGCTAGCAGATCACCCCATCCCTGTGGCCACTTGTCGTGGCCACGTGCCATGGCAGCTGAGGGCTGGCAGAGAGAGTGCCCTACCACCCACCAGGGTCAGCGAGGCTCCGTGGGGCTGGGGTCACGGCCCCGCACAGAGCTTTCTAGGCACCCGGCTTCCCCCGAGGACAGCTCCTGGAGCTCTGGAGGCCCGGCAGGCGGAGGGCCCTTGCACGTGCCGGACCAGACACGGCACCCGGGGTCCCACAGGCTTGCAGCCGTCAGCACATGGCCCTGAGGGAGGGGAAGTTCTAACCGGCTCCCTCAGCGCAGGCCTGCTGACCTGGGCAAACCACAGCCAGATGCGTCTGACTCCAAGCCCTGCTCTGAGCGGAGCCACGATGCTTCTGGTTTCCGGAGCCGGCTCTTGGTTGCTTGGTTGGGAGTCCTCAAAACAGATGTGGGGAGAGAGGCAGAAACTTGTGAAGAGCCCAGGACAGGGGCTCCCAGTACCCACCTGATAAAGCCCAAGTCCCTTAGCATGGCCCTCCAAACTGCCCAGCTTCTGCCCCAGCTTCTGCCCCAGCCCCTATGGCTTCCCTGTCAACACCCCCCCCGACCCCCCGCACAGAAAGGCCCTCCCCCACCCCCACACTCCTGCTATCCTATGCCCTTGCTTTGCATAACCTCTCCCTTTCTGTCCACCCCAATCCCAAACCTCACTTCTCCTGGAGGCCTTCCCTGACCCCCCCGCCAAGCCCCTGAAGTTCTGCCCCTTCCCTCCTGTCCCAAACCCATGCTCTTTTTCCCAGCATGAGACAGGGGTGAGACGTTGGTCCTGGAGGACCTACCTTCGAGAACCTGCTCTGCCCATTGCTCCCTGAGTGACACGTCCTCTTCTGGGGCCTCAGTTTCCTCTTATGCAAAACAGGTGCAGTAATGATCCCTTCCCCAGACCGCTGCGGGAATCAGATGACATGGTGGATGTGAAAGTGCGGGGTAGACCACAGGGGGCTGGACGTGCAGGCACTGTGGTCTTCCTCACTGCTTACATCAGGACAACGAACCCTAGGCAAGGAACTCACAGATTCTGCCCGTCCAAAGGCCGCTGAGCTGAGCCGCCCGTCCTGTGGTCCTCGATGAGAATGTTGGGAGGTTCTTAGTTTATCTCAATTTATTCGTCCCTCCTGTCCTGGGGCAGTATCCTGGTCCTAGCACCCCTCCCTTGGTCCTGGGCCCTTCCCGCACCACCCTCCGAGGCTTGGTTAGGACCGTGAAAGATGCGAGGAGATTCTCGGATTGTCTTGAAGGCAGCATGTCCAAAAGAAATATTATGTGAGCCACATATGTATGCTCTAAATATTAACTGGTAGCACATTCAAAAGTAAAAGACGCTAATTTTAATAATATCTTGAAGTTAACGCACTATATCTAAAATATTCTCATTTTAGCATATCATAAATTTTAAAAATTAATAATGAGATATTTTCCATTTTTTTTTCATACTAAGTCTTTGAAATGCAGCCCGTGTTACTCACGGCACGTCTCGGTCTGGACTGGCCGTATTTCCAGTGCTCGGTGGCCACACGTGGCTGGTAGCTCATGCATCACACAGCACCACTCTAAGGTATAAATGAGGAACAGACCCACAGTGCCTCACCCAGTGACTTAGACTGTGGGCTTTCAGGCCCCTTCACGGTACTCCAGAAAGGTGCCTCCCAATTCTTCCTGTCTTGCACCAGGGCCTCCGACTCACAGGCCTTAGTGGAAAAAGCATGAGCTTTAGGCACAGGCAGGCTTAAGCTCAGATCATATAGTTCTGTGCAATGTTGGGCAGGTTACCTAACCTCGAAGCTGCTTTGCGCCTGTGTGGCGCGTTTTCCTTTGCAGGTGCCCATGAGGATAGACCAGCAGCATGCGTGCGGAGCCACCAGCCCGCATACCAGTGGCCTGGCACACCGGATCTCCATTGTGCTAGGCCCCTGGGGTACTCGGTGTGGACCCCCTGCCCCATTCCTAAGCAGAAGCAGTGTAGGAAATTGCTTGCATCGACGCAATAGCCTCTCCTGTTGATTTCATTTTTTCTTCCTAGAGCCTGACACTGGCCGCACCCATTGCCATTTCTTCCATTCTTTCTGTTCATTCATAGTTATCAGATACCCACTATTCCACCCCAGGCCCTGTGCTAGGCACCAGGGTTTCAACAGAGAACAAGATAAGCATGATACCTGCTCTTGCAGAGCTGGGAGCCCAGCAGAGGAGAGACCCTGCACAAAGTTTGACTCAGTCCTGCGTGCGTATGTAATGTAGTGATTTTCTCTGAAAATCAACTTCCCTTCTGCTCTGAATGCCCATCCTGCTGGATTAGCAAGACACTCGACCTCAGCCTTTCTCAGGGGTCCCCCACCAAGGTGAAGCAAAGGTCCTTCTAGGGTGTTCAGGCACCAGAGAGGTCTCACCCCCACCCGGCACGCATCAGCATCAATCCGTCCAGGCCCATTTGGGGCCAAAACAAATGGAACACTGTTGACCCCTATTGCTTTGATGAGGTGACTGCCCCATACCCTCTTCTCTCCCGGAGGGTTTCCCCAGCCCACAGGCACCTTGGGGCAGAATGTCTGGCATCTAGCTGACTGCCCTTGGTTGTGTGTCTTGCCAGGGTGAAGATTCTCCCGCTGAGCAGAACCCAGGGGAGTCCCAAGAGAAGCAGGCTAGCCTCACCCAGATTGCACCAGACCTGACGGTGATCCAGTTCATCAAAGGTAAGGGAGCTCAGGCCAGGATATAGAGAAGTGGGACCAGAGGGGCATGTGGGGCCGTACAGGATCCAGCCCCTTCCTGCCCTTCTTGATTTATCTTTCACACCTACAGACCCCTCATGAGCACCATACACTCCTGTGAGTCTTGACTTATATGATCCCCTCTGCCTGGAATGTCAGTTTTTATTGCTATCTATCAAAATCTTCCTGGTCCCTCTATGTCAAGTTCAAGTGCTCTTCCTCTCCTTCCCCCGGCCAGCCTGGCCCTCCCTCCTCTCAGTTCTCCGAACCCTCAGGGCCGATAATCCTTGGCTCTGCTTCCCTCAAGGACTATTAGGAGAATCAAATGGGATGATGAATGGAAAGCCTTTTGTATATTATTTAAAAAAAAAAAAAAAACTTTACTTACATAAGGTATAATTATTTTTTCAATTATCACCCCTGGCCTACTGCTATTATTCTGATCATGTCCTGGGACAGTAAGTTGAGCTGCCTGTGGTTTGGGAGGGTGATGACCAAGGGGTTTGCTTCGGCACCCACCCCTGCCCCCGCTGAGGACTCTTGAAACAGGAAGTTAATTAGGCCCAATTCTTGGAAGTGTGTCCTAAGACCTGATGTTGGGATACCAGTAACCCAGCCCCCAGTTCTCCAGCCTCCCCGGGGTAAGGGGAGGGCTGGACTGCATGGGGCTGGGCCTAGAGGCAGGAGGGGCTTAGACTCCCTAACCTCAGATCACCCCCCCAGCTGCTGGAAGGCCCCAGCAGGCTGCTCCTTGGGAGAGTTTATTAATCACTGCTTTGGCTTCTGCCCAGAGGGGAAGCTGGGGCCAATCACTGAAATTGGATCCTGGAGTGGGTGTCCTGGGCAGATTCTCTGGTGGTTTCAGCTTCTCCATGAGGCTAGAGGAGACCAAGGCAGGGCTAGTCATAGGCCCTGTAGTTGGTCAGCAAGCAGGGCTTCTGGGCTTTCTGCTGAGTTCCAGAGGGAATGGTAACCTGAGGGTTGGCCTTGACCACATGGGGCCATGGGGGAGCCAAAGGGAGGAGGAACCATGGCCCTTCAGCTGGAGGAGGCCAAAATTCTTGAGAGGAGACAGTCCCTGAGTTAGAGAAGGCCCCTGTCTGATGGGGAGACATTATCCTTGAGTTAAGGGAGGCCATTGACAAAGGGAAGAAAGACTATCCCTACGGGGGAGGGAGGACGTGCCTCTGAGCTGTGGGCGGCTCCAGAATCTCTTGAGTGGGGAGGAGCCTACCCAATGGAGGAGGCACTAAGCTAAGGGAACAGCTATCTAACAGAGGTGACCCTGGAGTTCCCAGCAGATACCCCAGTCTAAGTGAAAGGCATAGCCCTGCCCTCCAGGAATTTTCCATCTGTTCTAAGGACAGGCTGCAAATGCTGAAGAGATAGTGGGTGGGTACAAAGTGCACTTGGGATGATTAGCACAGGAGAAGGAGATAGAAGCAAGTAACGAGCTAGAGCCTTCTGGCAGCCGGAGAGGCCCAGGAATGTGGGTGGGGTGGGGTCCTGTAGGTGGAATGGCCTTTACACTAGGAGTCAGGAAACCCCTGGCAAATTCTGGCCTTGCTCCGGCCGCTCTAGATGAACTTGGGCCCCACCTGTCCAGTGAGGGCACCGGTATGGCCTGGGCCAACCCTGGCCAGGGCAGCTCCAGGAGGGAGGGATGCTGGAGCAGCTACCTGGGGTGCAGGCCACGTGTCACACCTTCTGGCTCCAGACGCTGGTTCAGTGCGCTGTGTGTAGGGCAGGGGACTCAGGACAGGAGGCAGGCCTGAGACATGAAGGAAGGGGAATTCCACAGCCCAGTTCCTACCCACCCTACGAGGACTGTTGGTCTTTATTTTCTGGCTTCTAAGGAAATGGTTCCTGGCCCACCCAGGGGGCTAGAGAACTAGCTGACTGGGCTCTGGCCAAGCTCTGAGGGCAGACAGCGATATACACCATGTGTATATCTCCAGCGATATACACCCTGGTCTTGCTACTGCAGGAACAGACAGGACCTCCCACTTGGCCCAGAGGAGCCCGAGGGCCATCTTCCCCACCAGTCCCGACTGCCAAGTGATTTGCTCCTCTGACGTGTCTTCTCAGAAGGGCCTTTCCTCCTCTCTCCCCCACACCTCACGTTAACTTTCAGCTCACCTCCTGAGGGCAGAAACACATGCCTTTCTCTTTTGATGTTAGTGGAGAGAGAACTGCACGTGTCCGAAGAGAAAGCATTCTTGGCCTTGGCCGTCACCCTGGCTGCCCCTGAGGCTCTTCCTTGAGACTTACCCCCATCACGTGCCCTTCAGGTTGGCAGACCTGCAATGAGGAAAGCTGTACACAAGGCACCGGGTTGGGAGATAATGGGGGATGGGGGAGGTCATCAAAGCCGGACCCATCGCTTCTACGTCTCTTTATGTGCTTTTGTTCTTGCTGCGTCCCTACTAGGAATTCCTTTTCCTTCAGATCCATTCTTCAGGCCCTACCTCTGTCCTACCTCAAGAAGCCACCCAGCACCAAGCCTGCTCAGTTTTTACCTTCTCTGGAGGTCTTACTTCTGCCCCAACATTGTGACATTTGATCCCATATTGGCCTGCAGTTCCATTCATTCGTTCCCTCATCTGTTCCATAAATATTTCCTGAGTGCCTGCTGTGCCCCCACGCTCTGGAGATTGAGCAGTGAACATGGCAGACAAAAATCCCTGCTGTAAATGAAGCTTATATTCTGGTGGGGTGACAGTAAAGTGGCTGAGTGAAACATGTGGTATGTGAGGTGAGGTGCTGCAGAGCATAGAAACTCGGGATGGAAGATCAGGGGAGGGACTGCTCTCCCGTGCTGGGGACACAAGAGGGAAGACAAAGGCCAGGGTTGGCTTGGAAAGACCTAGAGCAGGACAGGATGAAAAAGACTGAGTGGGCGAAAATGAGATGAGTAAGTAGAACAGAAGAAATGTACCGAGGGGGGATGAGATGAGATGAATGGAACAGGAGGTATGGAATAGAACTTTATGGAATCGAATTTTAGATAGAATCAAATGGAAAGAGGCACAGTTGAATAGCGTGCAATCTAATTCAATGGGATGGAACAAAACTGAGTTTCAAAAGCAGAATAGAATTAAATGGAAAGGAGTCAAACGTAACGGGATGGAATTGGGTGCAGGAGAATTAAATGAGACGGCATGGAAGGAATGGGCCAATTTCAACTGAACAGGGCAAGACAGGACAGAAACAAAAGCACGGCTGGCCTGCCCACTCTGACCTTCTCCCCGCTCACCCCAACAGTGTTCCCCAGGGTGCTGCTGCGGACCCTGCGCCACCCCATCTTCCTGCTGGTGGTCCTGTCCCAGGTGTGCATGTCGTCCACGGTAGCAGGCATGGCCACCTTCCTGCCCAAGTTCCTGGAGCGCCAGTTTTCCGTCACAGCGTCCTACGCCAACCTGCTCATAGGCTGCCTCAGCATCCCGTCGGCCATCGTGGGCATCGTGGTGGGGGGCATCCTGGTCAAGCGCTTCCACCTGGGCCCCAAGCGTTGTGGTGCCCTTTGCCTGCTGGGGGCGCTGTTCTGCCTTCTTCTCAGCCTGCCCCTCTTCTTCATGGGCTGCTCTACCCACGAGATTGCAGGCATCACCCGCCAGCCTGGGTGAGTGTGTAAGAAGCAAGGGGGGGGGTGTCAGGGAGGGGGCCCGGACAAGGCCAGTGGAATGGGGTGCCCGTCTACCTCAAAGCTCACTCTCCATCAGCACCTTCTCCTCCCCTCCCCGCCTGGCTTGAGAGCAGTGGGACTTCTCTCTCCGAGTCTCCGGTCAAGGTGTCAGGCAACACTAGGAGGGGCAAGGCTGGAACTTCACAGACAGGACAGCTCAGGCCTGGGGAGAGGTGGAAGCCAAGGCAGGGCAAAGCCACTTGTGCGGATGGCATCTCCAGAGTGGCCAAGGTAAGGCAGAGGCCACGTCAGAGAGCAGGACCCAGCTCAGCGTGAGGAAGGCTTCGCTCCAGGGCAGGGGAAAGGCCTGCCTGGGAAGCCCGCACCCTCTCCATCCCCTGGGGGTGGGGGTGTAGAGAGAGGGGGCGAGCAGGGCTGGAAGGCATCTGTCAGGGACGCTGCAGAAGGGACTTAAGCCGTAGGAAGGGGTTGGCCCCCAGAGGCCTTGAAGACTTGCGGTTCTTAGAGCCTGGCGGCTAAAATGATGTTGTTCCATGACCCTAAAACTCAAGGTTCTTTCCCCACATCTGAGGCAGCACCAAGAGGAAAGCCTCCGATGCCTTGCTGCCTTCTCGTTTCTCTGTCCTCCCACCCTCGGGCATATGCTCTCTCCCGCTGGGGGCCGGCTTCCAGAGGGTGCTGGAAGTTACATTGCTGCCTCTTCTCCAGAATGACTTCACTTTTCCTGGGAACTGCTCCAGGCTTAGGCTGGCCCAAGACCCAGCTAGAATTCCCCGATTGTCTCCATTCCCACCTCTCCCTGGGCATCTCCTCCCTCCACCCACATGCCAGCTACCCCGCCTTGACGGAGGCTCAGCTCTTCTCTCTGGCCCAGGCCCCACATCACAGCCGCCCCCCCCCCCCATCATCCTTTCCCTTCCCCTCCTTCCTCATCCCTCCTCCCAGACAGTAAGGCGACCCTGCTGCCTCCCCTCTGCAGAGCCCTTGTTCTAGGCACAGCGGTGGAGCTTTAGCCAGACCCTCTACAGTCCCCAGTCTGAGGAGCGAGCCAGGGCCTTTATTTTTTTATTTTTTTAAAAGATTTATTTATTTATTTTAGAGAGAGAGAGGGAGGGGGAGAGAGAGAGGGAGAACGCATGAGGTGGGGAGGGGCAGAGGAAGGAGAGAGAGAATCTCCAGCAGATTCCTCGCTGAGCACAGAGCCTGACATGGGGCTCGATCCCAGGACCCCAAGATCATGTCCTGAGCCAAAATCAAGAGTTGGCTGCTTAACTGACTGAGCCTCCCAGGCACCCCTCCCCTGTTTTTTCTTCCAAAAAGTAAATGGAGACAAGTCAGCCTAGCGCGCATGCCTATTTCCCTTTTCTTCTGCCTCTCGCCTTGACTCTGACATCTCATCTCACTGTGTTCTCATCTTTGTTCTTGCAATTTACTCACTGAGCTTTGGGCTCTAATTCATTGAAGAAGCTTTTTGGGACCAACTGAGCAAATTCAGGAGGCTTTCTCATATTTCAGCTCAGCTAGTGATACCGACAGCTGCCAAGAACTGAGGTCTCCCACGCACCCAGCGTCCAGCCCAGCTCTTCCCATATTCTGTCTCATTGAACCTTCACAGCATCTCTGAGATGGGTTGTACCATTATGCCCATTTCACAGATGAGGATAGTGAGGCTCAGAGAGGTGAAGTCGCCCAGCTGGGCTGTCCAGCTGGGAGGGGCAGAGCCAGGGCTCTCCCCACAGGAGCAAGGGGCTGTGGAAGAGTCCCTGCTCTCATCCACTCAGCCTTCCTGCTGCTGGCAAGAGCAACCTGAGGGGTGCCTGCCCCTGGGCAGAATCCCCTGGTGCCACCTCAGCTCAAGGCAGTCCCAGCCCGTTCCATTTCCTGCTTGGCAGCAAAGGAAGAAGAGATGATCTCCCCCCACCCACTGTCAGAGGGAAACCCCCTCCTGAGGGAAAGAGTGCATTCACCTCTTCCCCGAGGCCCCCTTCCCAACTCTGGCTACCCAGTTGTCCTACCCACCTCCCCAGCCCCCTGTTGAGTTGAACCTCTTCTCCAGGGAACTGAGATCTCACTAAGCTGGCCAGACTTGCCCTGCTGCCTGGGCCTCTGCCCACACCTAGCCTAAGCCCACAGGACCCTCAGCTGCCCACTGGGGCCCCCTCCTCGTTTGTGCCATGAAGTCAGGTCCTCCTCTGAGTCCCAGGGGCCACCTCCACACCCCACCGAGGGTGACCTAACTCCTCGGACTCAGCCTCTCCTCTGATCTCCCAGCTGACTAGAGTAGGGGTGCTCCTGGGACTTGGGGGCAGGCCCTCCAGAGGGAGTTGGCGGGACTAAGTCATGCAGTGGCCACAGTGAACAGAGTAGTGACAGGGAGCTGAGAGGCCGTGAGACTGCAGGGTGGCCATGGGAGGGGGTTCCCAGCCGAGCTGACAGAGACACTGAGGTCCTGAGAGAGGCAGGGACAGGTGGGTGATTCCACAGCTAGTCAGGTGTCCTGCCTGGTCCAATGGACATAACTCGAATTTTCTAAGAAAAGGAAGCAATCCAGCCCATCAAGAAAAAGGCCCCTTGGGCACAGGGCTGAGGTGGCCCCAGTTCATGGTGTGAGAGCCGGAAAGCCAGGCTAACCCTGCCACCTTCTCTCCCACCAGCAACCTGCCTGGACCGGACCTGTTTCCAGCCTGCACAGAGCCTTGCTCCTGCCCATTGGACGACTTTAACCCTGTCTGTGACCCCAGAACCCATGTTGAATACCTCACACCCTGCCAGGCAGGCTGCACAGGCCGGCTGGTCCAGGAAGCCCTGGACAAAAGTCAGGTGGGTCAGGCCTCGGATTGTTCCCTCTGCCTCCCCTGCGCTCTGCCCCTCCCTGTCTTTGTGCATCCATCACACTCTCCATCTTTGCGCATTCTCATTTTGTGGCTCTTCTCTCTATCTGTTGGTTGGTCTGTCTCCTTCTGTTGGCCGGTGTAGAACATGATTCTTGCAGTAAACTTTCATTGCCGATTGGGGCCCAGCCCTGTGCCAGGCCCCAGAGCACAGGGGTGAGCCCAATCTGGCTCCAGCTGTCTGTGTAGGGGAGAGGCAAAAGGAAACAAGGAATTCCAGGGGTGGTGATAGGCGGGAGAAATGGTCCCCACACGTACAGACAAATATGGAAGAAGATGCATCCTGCCTGGGAGGGTCCTAGAAGGCTTCCTGGGATGTGGCCTTTGTGCCACGAGGATGAGTGAGCAAACCAGGAAAGGACTTTACAGGCAGAGGGAACCGCAGAAACAGAGACTGCATACACATGCATACAGTGTTTCAAGAAACTGCGAAGCACTTGTTGGAGCAGAAGCAGAATGTTTCCAAGAGGGAAAGTGAGGCTCAGGCAAAGAAGGGCATTCAAGGCCTTTACCGAGAGAGCAATGGGGAGCGTTGGATGGGCCAGTGACAGGGTCAGATCTGGGTCTGATCACACTTGAGGCCATGTATTTAGGAAGGCGAGCAGAGTGCAGGCTAGGAGACAGGGAAACAGTGGGGAGGCTGGCCCAGAGAGCCCAGTCAGTCATTCAGCCAGTCAGCAAACCTTCACAGAGTTCCTCCTCTATGCCAGGCCCTGTGCCGAGGGGCGAGGACCCAGAGCCAAAGGGCCCTCCCCTCAAGGAACTCCCAAGCAGGGAAGGAGGCAGAATAAGCAGCAGCAGTGCATTCTGTGTGAACCTTAAACGGGGCTCCAAGACTAGCCACTCCTCCTCCCCTTTCTCCTCAGTCCCCCAAATGACAAATGAGGAGAATATCTGCCTTCCTCAGGCCCCCAGGCTGTAGAAGAGCCTGTGGAGGGGGGGCGCGGGGGGTGCAGCATTGGGCTGGCCACAACGCGTCCCTTCTCCAGAGTTCCCCCTCTTTGTAATGTGAAACTCCTGCCTTTGCATCCTGCGGGGCATCAGTATCCAAGCCCAAGGCTCCTCCAGGTAGAGACCTGGGCCCCACGGGCTGGTGCAGAGGAAGGCACCTGGCTGACGGGGCTGCAAGCCAGCAGGCACCGCGTGGGCTCTGCAAACTGTTTGCCTTTGCAATCACCGAAATCCCAGCCTCTGTGCCTCCTTAGCGCTCACTGTCTTTACCTGGTTTAATCTCTCTGAGACCTTCCAGGGGACCCCAGGCCCTGCCAGCTGGGGAAAGATCCCCCAGGGAACAGTAAACTTTTGTGAATATGGGCCCCTGAGCACTGAGGCCAGGCTACCCGGTTCGCATCCCTGTTCTACCTGTACCTGGCTCAGTTACCTCAAGCAAATTATTTAATCTGTGCCTCCAATTCCTGGTCTATAAAATGGAAGTGATCGTATTGAGTACCTACTGTATACCAGCCACTGTGCTAAATGCTTTCCTCAGGTGAATTCATTAAATAGTAAATAAAGAGCCACATGACAATGCCCATGAAAAGTACTTAGCACAGTGGCTGGGAAATTTTAAGCACTCAGTAGTACACACTCCTATTAATGTCCATTATACAGATGGGAAAGGGAGGCTCAGGAAAGGACCAGGCATTGCCCAAAGTCTTAATGCCAGAGCTGGGGTTATAACCCAGGGTTCTGGCCTCCCAGCCCAGTGCCCTCCCCAGCGTGTCCTCAGAGGTTGTGTCTGGGGATAGTATTTGGAGGAAGGTGCACCTGGGTCCTGGTCAGCACTTAGGAACTGTCGCTCTGGCCTGGAATAGTCTCGCAGCCAGCCTGCCTCCTGAGGTCGACTGTGAGCAAGCTCGCGGGCCCAGGGCTGGGTCGCTCAGCGGCCAGCATGGCTGCACTCAGTAACCGTGGATGAAGGAGTAGATGACCAGGGGAAAGATAGGGAGAGGTGGGCGGTTGGGGGGATCTGAGGCTCAGGGGGTGAGGCTGAACCCCCCAGGGGAGTGAGAATCAGAGGCAGCTGGAGAGATCGGAGTCAGCCATAAGAAGAACTTGCTGCCAGAGTTAGATGAATGTGAATGAGAGCTGGGAAAACCCCAAGAGGAAGGCCTCTAGCTTTGTGTCCGTCCCAGCCATCTTTGGCCACTCAGAAAAGGCATGAGGGCAGGTCTTTCTCTTCTAGCCACCTTGCCTGGCATATTTCTCCCCTCACCTGTCCCTCCATTGTACCTCCACCCCAGTGGGTTGCTCAGCCTGGGGGCAAAGGTCCAGATGGCGTGTGCTCAGCAGGTCGCACGCCTGTGGCAGCCTGACCATGCACGGGCACCCTGCGGGCAACGGAAAGAGCGCCCAGTTACCCCAGCTAGAATCCCCGATCTTGCACGCGTGCTCTCTCACCTTGCCCTAATTCTACATCCTAAGTACTCTCAAATCAAACCCTGTTCTCCATCCTCCTCCCCTGCCCACCACTCTCTCCATGGTGGGCCTCTTCACCGGCCTCCCCTGTCTGGCCTGTCCTCTTGCAGGAGCCCCAGCGGCTTTGGTGCTCCCGAGCTTAAATTCTTCCCAAGGCTCCCACGGTCCGCCTCAGACTCCCTTTTCACAATGGGAAGTGTGTGAGACTGCCCCAGGCCGAGCAGACCACCCTGAGGGCTGATGGCACCCAGCCCTGCAGACCTATCTCCCAGCAGAGGCCGAGGCTCCCTGGGACACGCTGGTCAGAAACTCTATTCTGTGGGGAAGAAAAGCCTAGGCTTCCTGGTTTGCTTAGCTTCTGTGAGGCACGGGCGGTGGAGACCATTTCTGAAAGAATCCTAGGCTGGAAGTTTTCCAGGCCACGTGGGGATGGGAATGCAGGCTGCAATCAAACATGCCCCTGAACCAGCCTGGCGGCCATCCCTTGCAGTTTGAAAAGGGGTCAGCTTTTCACATACTTCAGCCTCTGGAGGGGTCCCAGTTTTTTGGGGGGTCTCCTATTGGACTTGACTCTGGCAGGAGGGAGGGCTAGGCTTTGTCCTCCGGCCCTGGAGCCCCCAGACCTCAGAAAGCTATACTCCCTGGTGAAGCTTCTGCAAACATGCTGGGGCCAAAGCTTGCTTCAGGACCCTGCTCACCTCACTGGGTTCCAGCCTCTCTGAGCAGTTTTCTGTGCCAGCACATGGGTGCCCTTAGGACAATGTTTTCAATACTTTATCCAGCATTGTGTTGTCAGCAGGATGACTGGCAGGGCCCCGGTCCACTGTGTTTCTGGAAACAGCAGTCCAGGTTCCTCTTCTGTGTCCCAAACTCTTCACGACGCCATCCCGGGGCAGCCCTCGAGCACCTCCCCGCCTCCCCTCTGCTCTCCGCTCCAGGCAAAGATTTGCTGCACTCTTTCATGCCACTTTCATGGGATTTTACATCTGACCTTCCCTCTCCTCATTTCAGTTTTCCTCTTGGCAAACTCCTATTCATTCCTCAAGACCCAAATGCAGCACCCCTCTCTGGTGAAGCCTTCCTTGCACCTCACCTGCTGACGCCGGGTTCCCATGGTGCTGTCTGCGTCCCTCTCTCCTGTGCTTGACTCTCTCCTGGAGAGTCTCCTCTGCAACCCAGTGCCCTGCAAGACCTCAGTGAAGTAGAAAGGGAGGGACACTGAGCTGGAAAATCTGAGTTTCTTCCCCAAAAACACTCTTAGGTTTTTTTTTAAGATTTTATTTATTTATTTGAGAGAGAGAGAGAGAACATGAGAGAGAGCCTGTGTGTGTGAGAGAGAGAGAGAGAGTGTGCACAAGCAGGGGGGAGGGGCAGAGGGAGAAGCAGACTCCCTGCTGAGCAGGGAGCCCGATGAGGAACTGGATCACAGGACCCCAGGATCATGACCTGAGTTAACTAACTGAGCCACCCAGGTGCCCTTTTTTTTTTTTTTTAAAGATTTCATCTATTTATTTGAGAGAGAGAGAGAGAGCATGAGAGAGATCCCCAAAACACTCTTGGTTACTTTGATTCCTGGCACAGTCGGTCAGGAATTTGGAACATTCTGACCTCACCAGGTGAAAGAATGAGTGTGTGTGCACGTGTCTGGTATGATTGTGTGTGTGTAGGTGTGTGGGTGTGCGTTGAAGGACGGTGGTGTGTGTGAGAGTGATCCTGCGGTGTGTATTGAGCGTGTGTGAGTGTGCGTGGTGTGGTGGGGGGTGATGCTCCCCCAGCCCCTCTCCCTGTCCTCTGCTTCCCGGTCCCCACAGCCTCAGCCCACGTGTGCGGGAAGCGTGTGTGTCCATGGCCAGAAATCCCAGCCTCCAGCCAGCTCTGTCCCCAGCTGGTTGGTGCCCTCGGGTCCCTCACAAGCCTTCAGGGCCTCAGGCGCTTGGCCAGCGGCTCGCCCTTGGAGGCTCCTGAAGGCTTTTCTCCTCCCCCTTCCCACTCTAGGTTTTCTACACCAACTGCAGCTGCGTAGTGGGGGGTGGCCCTGTGCCGGCGGGCGCCTGCGACTCAGCCTGCAGCCACCTGGTGCTGCCCTTCATGCTCCTGGTCAGCTTGGGTGCGGCCCTGGCCAGTCTCACCCACACACCTTCCTTCATACTCATCTTAAGGTGAAAGCAGGCGTGGGCCAGAGCCGGTGGATACCTAGAAGTCCTTAACCCCAGGCAGGATAAGGGATCCTGAAGGCGGGGTTTGAAGAAGGAGGCCACTTGGGTGTCCTGGGCCCCCCATAACAGAGCAGGTTCTCACTGCCCTGTCTCCATCCTCATGGCAACCTACTAAAGTGAAGTCCCGCCCCCCATTTATAGATAAGAAAACTGAGGCTCAGAGAAATTCAGAAGCTAGCCCCAGGTCTTGTGGCAAGTGTTGGGTAGAGAAGTACCGGTGCCAGGGCCCAGAGCCAGGCCCCTACTTGCCCCAGGGAGAGGCCACCCAGTCACAGTGAGGAGAAAGTGGAGTGTCACCTGACTGCCCACCCCCACCCTGCTCATAGTGGGTGGGCCAGCAGGAGGTAACATCCAGAAAACCAAGCCCTATCAGTGTGGTTCATGACTCTTCAAGTCAGTGAGCACTTACATGTCCACTGTGGACCCAGCCCATTGTCCTGAGGGTGCCTGCTGGGACTGACAAATTGTTACCTGAGGCCAAAGTCAGCATGCCTACGTTGGGGGCTGGAATTGGGACCTCAGAGCAGGATAATTCCAAGTTTTCATTGTGCTGGGATTATTTTTTTAAACCATTCTTTTTTTAGATTTTTATTTATTTACTTACTTATTAGAGAGAGAGAGAGAGAAGGAGCAGGGAGAGGGAGAAGCAGACTCCCCACTGAGCAGGGAGACTGACTCAGAGCTGGATCCCGGGGCCCTGGGATCATGACCTGAGCCAAAGGCAGATGCTTAGCCGACTGAGCCACCCAGGCGTCCCTGGGATTATTTTTATTCTCTGTTTTTTGGAAAATTAAAAGGGGGATGGCGCCCCTCACAAATACGAGAAGACACGTAGATCTATAAAACAGGCTGGCCACCAGAGAGAAGGTAGTGGACTCCGATGTCCCGGCAGGCGGGCCATGTAAGAGGAGTTAATGCAGGCAGGGGGCTGCAGATTCTGACTCTTGACACCCACCTGCGCTGGGATCTTAGCCGAGTCATTTAACCTGTCTGAACATTCATCAGTCTCCTTATCTGTAAAATGGGCTAATGGTATAACCTACCTCATGAGGGGTGAGGTAGCGGCTGCAGTATAGAATGACAGAGCCTGTAGTAAGCACTCCGTAAACACTAGCTGCTGGTATTCCTAAGGAGGAGCCAGTGATGGCCCCAGCATCCTAGGCTGGGGCCTCACAGCATTTGGGGAAGTTAGAAGGCAGGTCTGGCTACCTAGTTTCGGGTTTTGCCGAGTGTAGGAGGAGGAACTTGGCGGGCCCGGGGGTGAGGAGAGAGGGTGGGGGTGTCTGTGAGCAGGAACACAGGGAGGCCAGCACAGGGTCCTGATGGCTAGTGGGAGTGCCTGGAATGTGGGGGGCTGGGCTCCACAGGTTGAAGGGCAATGGAGTGGGGAGCCTGAGCCCACCGCCGCCCCAACGCCCCGGACCCTCAGACCGGGGGAAGGCTGGCCCTGGGTGGGGAGAGAGAAGGGGATGGTGAGAGCCACTGGGGGGCTGGGACCCTCTTAATCCTCACGCGGCCGTGTTTCTACTTATTAGGGGAGTGAAGAAAGAAGACAAGACTCTAGCTGTGGGAATCCAGTTCATGCTCCTGAGAGTTTTGGGTAAAGAACCTTCCTGGGACCCTTAGTTCAGATACACACTGTGTGCCAGGCCTGGGGGCACAGGGATGAGCGGGACCCAGCTCCTGACCTTAGGGTTCATGAGCCCCTGGCAGCAGATGGGACCTGGGACCCTGGAGGTGGGTATGCAAACAGAGAAAGAGCCCTCCAGCGAGGCAGCATCCCACACCAGGGTAAGGGCTGGGCTAGAGGGCCAGACACTTACGGGACAAGAGGCCCCAGGGGCTCTGGGGGTTGTGCCTGCCAGGGAGCAGGGGGGTGGGTAATGCAGAAACGCCGGGCACCGTCGTGCCCTGACCACCTCCTTCCTGCAGCCTGGATGCCCAGCCCAGTGCTCCACGGCAGCGCCATCGACACCACCTGTGTGCACTGGGCCCAGAGCTGTGGGCGTCGGGCTGTTTGCCGCTACTATGACCACGACTTGCTCCGAAACCGGTGAGACCTGGGGTGGGGACTGCCAGGGCCCTGTGGGAAGGCTGCTGGAAGTAACTCCTGCGGTCCCAGGTAGGACAGCGGCAGGGACGAGAGGCCCATTTGTACCCCGCTGCTAAGTAGCAGGTGCAATATCCTGTACTGAGCTCACCAGTCCTGTGAGCTGGCTACTCTCCCCCACTCTTAGGATGAAGAAAGTGAGAGTTAAAGCAGCCCAGCGTCACTCAGCTGATAACTGGCAAAGCTGGGCCTTGAAGCCAAGTGGTCTGACCATGGTCTGTGCAGGAAACGTGTCATTGTGGTTGAGTGTGGGGAGAATCAGGGGAGCAGCCCAGCTGTGAGAGAGACAAGGAGTTGAAGTGGGGTTGGGAGAAGGCCGATCTAGGACACAGGAGGCCTGGGGTCCAGCCCAGCTCTGTCTCTCTCATTGGGAGACCTGCCTTTTCTGGAACTGAGTCTTCCCATCTGTGCAATGGGGAGCCCAGAGGAACCTGAAGGCCAAGAGGCTGCTGGGATGGGGTAGGGGGTTGGAGGGGACTTGCTAGCAGGGCTGGGAGCAGGGAGCTGGTCCCTGCCAGCTCTGAGGAGGGCCAGGAATGACCAGGGCCCTTCCTAGGGGAAAAAAAATCAAGTAAGAGCCTTGGTGAGTTAGGCAAATGGGGGAGAAGGAATCCTTGTGGCAGGTGGGGTGATCTAAAGTTGCACCTGTCAGGCCCCCTGAGCCCTTGGACAACCAGAGAGAGGCAGGGCTGGCCCAGGCTGCAAGCTGGCCAGCGACAGGGCAGGGAGGATGCCCAGGCTTCTGCCTCCCTGCCCAGTGCTCCTTCTGCAGAGCCTCTCCCCCTCTATCAGGGAAGGACCCCCACAGGGGTCAACTCCAGGGGCCTCCCTGTCTCCCCAACCCTTATGGTGATAGGGTCCACTGCCCTGGGGCTGGAGGCCTCTTTCCGCCCCCCAGCTTCAGTGTCTCTGACCACACAATGGGTGATGATGGCCGACCTCGCTCTGCCCCACCCCAGGGACATCCAAGCCCTGGACAGGGAGGTCCCGAGTTCACGGGTCCCTTGGTCTTTTCCAGGTTTGTTGGTCTCCAGTTCTTCTTCAAGATGGGCTCCCTGGCCTGCTTTGCCTTGATTTTGGTCATCCTAAGGCAGCAAGACAAAGAGGAGGGGACCCAGGTGACCGTCTCCACATCTGGCCTACAGCAGCAGCTGTTGGCGTCGGGGCCAGGAAAGAAGCCTGAGGAATCCAGAGTGTGAGCTGGCCCCAGAGGAGCAGGAGTACCTCCTCTGCACCCTTCGTCCAATCTTGGGTGTCAGGAACCCTGTTTTCCAATTCTGGCTTCTCTGCCAACTTGCTCTGTGACTTCGGGCAAGTTACTGACCCTCTCTGGGCCTTTGTTACTCATCTGAACCAAAGAGTTGTCTAGGGGTTTGGTGTGTTGGCCACTTCTAAAGCACGATGGTCTTCCCCCTTCCGCCCCCAGCCACACAGGCTGACCTGAAACCCGGCTTTCCTGGTGGAAGGACTGTGTATCTTTCCCCCAGGCCCTAGAATAGAGAAGTAGACAATAGTAGGCCAGGCTGCCTTTCGTACCTGGTCCTAGCCCAGCTCTGCCACTCACCGGGAGCACCCTACCCTCTCTGGGCCTCAGCCACCATCTCTGACAGGTGAAGTGGACTTGGCCGGCTTGTAGGCCCCTTCTGGCTATGACCATCTGTGTCGTCAGGATGGACTCAGGTCTCCTCCCCAGCCCCACTCAGCCTGGAGGTGGGGCCAGGACAGCCTGTCAAGAAATATCCATTTGGCGCCCCCTGGAGGCAGAGCCCTGAGCTCTGGGGGGGGCCCATGGGGAGGAAGCTGGCCTCACACTCAGAACAGTCAGGTGGGCCAGGGCCTTCAGCAAACCTGGCATGAGGGCCCCTGGGGCACTTAACTGAGGTGGGAGGATCACTCTGGAAAATCTAGTCCTTGCCCTCAGGGAGCCACAGTCTAGGCGAGGCCTGGGCTCTGCCTTAGGGGCTCCAGTGAGGAGGGAGATCCAGGCCCCACACTTGGGCATTTTCTGACTTCAAAGACCAAACACACTCAGCACACATTCATTGGTACTTATGCATGGCCAAGACTTCACACATTTGACCAGGGCCCACCAAAATCACTGTGACCCTTGTTGACTAAAATCCGAATTTCACCATTTCCTTCCCGGTACCTGACTCCGTGCCGCCTAGCGCTCTGTAGATAACATCTGGTTCTGCGATAACCACGTTTTGGGGGCAACGTCTGGTTCTCTGTGATGCCTGAGTTGGTGTAAGGACCTGTTCTTTGTAAGGCCAAGGCCTGTAATGTCCGGCTGTGTATAAGAAGTGGGTCTGTGGAATGCTTGGGTCTGAACCAACTGGTCCATCAGTGGGCCTTGTCTTGTTTTATGGCCAGTCTTCCCCAACCTGGTTATCCTGCCCCCCGCCCCCCCCCCCGGAAGGGGAGAGAGTTTCCTCATCTACTCCAGCCCATTCTGTTGCCACCTGAGCTGACCAAGACCTGCTGCTTGGGGGGCAGGAGACAGATGTCAGCAGTGGCTTCCCAAGCCCTGTGTCCAGCCCTGTGCTGGAGGCAGGGGAGAAGCTGGGGGGCAAGCAGGGGGCAGTGGGGACATGTGTGGCTCTGGCCCCCTGAACAGCTCCTGTGGCAGGACTTTGAGGCTCTCCCACGTGAAAGAAGAAGAAGAAGGTACAGAAATTCGAACTCCCATTTTGATTCTACTGGTTGATACCTTTAAATGTTTAATAAATACCTGAGCCTGTATTTATCAATGCCAAGAATTTCAAGGTTTCTTCCAAAAAGATGAGGCCGTTCACATGTGTATATTCCTTCTCCTTCCCTCCTGTTTCCCAGGTTTTGCAGAAATAATCTGGAATTCTAGACACAGCATATTATTAAATTTGTTTTTGCATCATGTCTCTTATATTACAAAATTCCTTTCTTACAAAGTGCATTAGAGTTTGCAGCAACCACATTATTTCCAGTTATTTAGATTTAAGTTTTACTGGATTCATAGCTCACTGTTACTTCTTGCATATGACATCTTTCCCTATTTGTATATTCTGGTCTAATTTTCATTTGACTGGGTTACTTCCTCTAGTAATGGTTTCAGAAACGGAATAAGGTCATGAAGCTTTCCGAGTCCTCACCTGTTCAAATTGTCATTGACATTTTATAGAAGAGGAAACAGTTCAGAAAGAATAAGCAACTTGCCCAAAATCATACAGAACATAAATGGTGGAGGCAGGGTTTTGTGGGAACTGAAGCTTACACACTTTGGGGAGCCCTCTTTAAGAAAAAGAGCACAAAATTAGGTAAGAAAGTACCTAGAATGAGAAAAGAAGTCAAAGCAAACACATCACACAATTCAGAAAAATAGCATTTTTTTTACTAACTGTTGTGCACATGTCTAAAATACATTCTTCCCCCTGAAGCCTGGCAGGATCTTCTGCAGCCTAGCTTCTGGTTCCGTCATTGCAAACCTGTTTTCCCTCTATTGCCCATGTACTTCCAGGGCCAGGCCGCATAAAACACTTTGATGTCACAAGATGACCTCTGGATATGACACCTTGATGTCACAATGCCGAGTGAGTTGGACAGTGGGTAGGAAGATTCCTAGAGGCCATTCTCTACATGCAGGTGGCTAGCAATGAGTTATCAAATACAGAGGTGACTGAGAACCATATAAATATATCCCAATGAACCCAAATTAAGTTGATCCCCAGTTCAACTGCCCCTTAGCCAGATCCCAGAAATGCCCATGGCCCCTCCAACCACCTCACATAAAAACTGGGACACAAGTAGTTGGAGTAGGAAGAACTAGCAATCTTAACTAATTGTGGTTAAAATACCTTACCTTTGCAAATTTCCCAGGAACACACAACCTGAACACATTGCAGAGGCCCCTCCCTGGGCCTGAGGAGAGACGATGATACTCAAGCTGCATTAGCTTCATGCTGAGTCTGCCTCTGGGTTGAGCTGAGATTTGAAGGAGAAAGTGAGGTCCTTGTGCTTAAAACCTCCCAGGCTGGTCAGGGTAAGGAGACTCCAGGAGTCATCACAAGAGAGACACAGGGCTGAGAGCCAGGGGTGGAGCAGGTCAGGGCTGGAGGGGTTCCCAGGGACCAAGGGAGTCCAGGGAATAGCCCTCGTATGGCCTCTGGCCAATGAGGAGCCATAAGCAATTGCATTTATGAGCTCACTTTCTTCTCACCCTGCATCCGGAAGCTGGGAGAAAGGCACTGTCTCTATGCTAGAGTTGACTGGTAGTAAAGTCCAGCAGTTTCTCCTGGAACCAGAATGAACATCTTCATGCCTGGCTCAGAAACCCTTTGACCCATAGACCCATGCTAGAAAGCTGCAGCAGGGAGATGCCTCTCCAGAGCCGGGAGCCAGGCGCCATGACTCGAGTGCAAATAAATGAAGAGCAAGAACCCACAGAACCTTCGCCATTCTTTGGCCCTGTTGAATCCTTTCCCCCTAACAGGCCCCAACGTGTGCTCTTCCCTCCACCTAACAGGCCTTCTTCATCCCCACCCCACTGCTTGCCTCTCCATCACACTCCATGAAGTCCTACTCAGTCTTCCAGACCCAACTCAAAGGCCACCACCTCTAGGGAGACAGCCTGGCACAGGTAATGGAAAGTGGATGACAACCACCTTAGAGAATGAAAGAAGATGTAACTCCATTAAAATAACACACCATCGTATAAACACCTGTGCCTCTGATTTCAGAGGTTGGGGACCATCAGAAGTCTGGCTTAGACCTCCAGTGGAGTGGAGTGGAGTGAAAAGATCAGAGGTTTAGAGTCCGTGAGATTTGGGTTCAAATCCTGACTGCCACTTATTCATGGTGTGACCCTGAATAAGTGATTTAACTTCTCTGCATCTGTTTCTTCACTTGTATGGTAAGGCTGATCATTCCTATCTCCTGTCTCCCAAAAGTTGTGAAGACCAAGTAACAACATACTCGCTCACAGGCAGTGCACCGGATGACCAGTATTTCTAAGTTTCCTTCCCCTGTCCCTGAAAGAATTTAAGGAGCCCATAGAGCATGGAGGTGGGATCGGGGGTGAAGATAGTGGGGTGGAGGCACCACTGAGGGGAGACACACTCCCTTTGCTGCCCTGGCTGTAGCTCTGCTTGTCCCCTAATCTCCCACTGTCAGCCAGGGCTCAGCCTGCCCAGTCTTATCTCTCTCCACAGCCAGCCTGGGACAGCTTTTCTCAACTAGATTTACATTTTTATTGATTTTCTTTCTCCCTTCCAGAGCAGTCCCTTCCTCTGCTTCCCCTTTTGCTATAAAATGGGTTTACCCTGGGAAACAGCAGTTCTGGGGCCAGCCAAGAAGTGATGGTTCAAGGCTGGATTCATCCACCATTCACTCATTCATTCAACGAACCAACCAACCAACCAACCGACAAATGCCACATGGCTGCTCTGTGCCCTGGCAGTGGCACTGCTGGGGACACAGCCAGGGTCAGATACAGCAAACTCCCAGTGTAAGCTGACAAACTGACAAACGGTAACAAAAGCATGACTCGTCAAATAGGAGAAGGAAGAAGAGGAAGCCGTGAACTCTTCCTGGGGCCACCAGGAAAGGCTTCCAGAAGAGGTTAAATCAGAGCTGGCTTAGATAGGCAGGAAGTCCCTGCCTATCTAAGTATAGAAGATGGGAATGGGCATGAGAAACAACAGGATGAGCAAAGACAGGGAGGCATGAGAGAGTAAGGTGCGTCTGAGATATGACACAAGAACAATGTGGCAGGGGTGTACCGTGTATGCAGGGCAATCAGGAGAGACTGGAGAGCTGAGGCTGGAGACACCAGCAGGGACCAAGCCTTGGGTTCCAGCTGAAGGCTTTGGATATCTTCCTGAGGGCAAGAAGCCCTTGAAGCATTGATTGATGGATTATTCCATTGACTGGTTATTTTAAGCAGGGAGTGACAGGACAAGATTTGTGTTTTAGAAAGGCTGCTGGCTGCACCATGGGGGCTTTGAGTGGAAAAAGGAAGCTGGAGGCCAAGAGCTCAGGCAGGAGGCTGGTGCACTAATCAAGGGGAGAAGTAGGAAGCCTTGAACCAGGTCAAGAGAGGCATCCTAGAAGTGCGGGCATCTAAGCTGAGTCTTGAAAGATGAGTAGGAACACACCAGGTGGAGAAGTTGGGAAGGGTGTCCAGGGAGAAGAAATGGCACAGATAAAGTGTCAGCATACAGAAAGCTCCCAGCAGGCTTGGGGAATTTCCACTGGTTCAGCCGGGCTGTGGTGT